AATATTTATCTCTTTTATATATTTATAAATGACCTATAATTTATTTGCATTAGCTAAAAAAAAATTATTAACATTTTACATTTATATCATATGTATATTGTAAATATATATATGATATAATTGTCAAAAAAAAATTATTATATAAAAGTAGGTAATGTTTAAATTTATTCATAGAAACATATTGATAGTATATACATGTTAAAAAAATTTATAAGACTATATCAGCATAAAAATGTCGTTGGTTGTAAAGATAAAAACGTGTTCTGTAATTTTGGTCACATGTGTTTCAGAATTTGGTGATGTTAGAAAGAAACTAATTTTTGAAAGTGGACAATAAATACTACTTAAAAATAACGTTACCTCCTACTTCAAAAACACTCAGAACATTACAATAATAAATTTGATAACATAACGGTAAATAAATAAGTAAATAAATAATAGTTATTTTTGCAACTCCATTCAAATAATGTACAAATTTATTAAATGCATGTAAGTACTTTGTAAATATCTAAATCACTCACATTATTTTTTTTTAATTTTCTATGTGATGCATGTTATAAAAGTTATATACATTTTAAACAACAGTTTAATTGTTTTTGTTACGTACGACCAGAATAATTTTATTTTTATTTTTTTATTATTAATGTATACATTTCTGCAACATAATATTACAATTATATTAATAAATTATAATATAATCAATGTATTTCCTAATAAAATAAAAACAAGCAGCAAATAAAAATAAAAATATCTCTGTGAAGTGAAATCTATATATCTCAGTATTTTTATGCATAGAATCTATATTACTTATTACCCTATACTCTTATCTTTCATAATTGCACTGTTTAAATTTTAAAATATGTCTGAAAATAATATAATATAAATTAGTATATTATATTATTTAAATTTATTATTTTCAATTACTTTAATTGATAATTTTATGTAAGAATCGTAAAATGCTAAATAACTATGGATACATGAACAGTATGTAATTTTACGAGTAATGACAACCGAATATTAGTTTGAATAGCAGTAAGAAAATGTTTAAGTTGTAACTATAATTTAAATAAATATAAGGTATAATAACCATTAACGACACTAAATAATATTTACCTTCAAAAATAAATATATTTTAACTAAAGATATACTTTTTATTATTACAAAACCTTTAAAATAGTTACTATATTTTTCCTTTCTTATAAATATTGTTATGATATAAATGGTAGAGTAGATATGAATTCGTTAAAAACATAATATATTTATTAGGTTAAGATTAATTTTGAGAAAAATATGATTTCTACATAGTTATTATATATTATTAATCATAAATGTATCACTGACAAAGAAAATAATTAAAGTAATGTAACTTTTATTGATCATCAAAAATTGGTTTTACAAAATATAAAAATACTATTTTATATAATACCATATAGATAGTAATTCTTACATTAATAAATAATTAGTATTTTCCACACAAGTAACATGATTTTACTTTTGATTTAAAGTTGATAAACATAACATACATTAAATGAATATATGATAGATTTTAATAAGCACCATCGAAAACATATTTTTCATTGTGAATTTTTAACTGTCTGTCTCTTAAATTACAATAAAAAATAAATATATGGATACTGTTAAAGAGAAATAATATCATAATATTAATGAAATATAACCCATATACGTATTTTTATTTATTTCATTTAATTAATAATAATATGATTATTTGAACTGATACCTTATGAAACTTTAAGAAATTCATTTGGCATAAAAATCTTCTCAAGTCCGAAACTTTTAATTTTCAAGGATACATTTTCAGTTTTTTGACAAAACCAATGTTACATTTTCGTGAACAATAAATTCTTACATTGTACAATTAATTTTTTTTAGTAAATTATGTTAATGTTGTTTAAAAACTATATTGATATTTCTAATGAGATAGAATATTATTTTATATTTTATTTTAAATTATTTATCTTAAAAATTTTTTATTTTATTTTAATTTGTTATTAAAAAAGAAAAAGAAAATGGTTGAAAATTGTTTTATTATGTTAATAAGGTATATTACGAGTATGTTTGGTTTCGATGATGAATTTGATAAGTTGGAGATAGATTAAGAATCTTTTTAACTAAAAATGTTAACTATTATTTTATATATATTTTTTTTTTTATAATCGTATGTATAAAATGTTGTATATGTATGTATTTCAATTATATACTATTTATACTTTAACTGATATAACTTATTATTAAAGGCTTTTTAAAATGTAATAATACTTCAATACCGTTTTTTTAATACAATTTTGAATAATATAATCTCTAATAATTGTATTATGATAGCAATAATTAATATTAACAGCTTTAAATAGCTTATTAGCTATAATATATAAGTATTTTGGTTTAAATTTACGTTATTTTATGAGTGAAACTGTTTAGAAAATACATAGAATACTGTTAAATAAAATCAACCATTTATGAATTTCCGGATTCTATAATGAAAATTGTTTCTCCATAAGCTTTATATCGGAACAAACATTATGTTCAAGCTAATGAACACTGTCAACATTTTTTTTGTGTTATAATAAATTTTAAAAATGTATTATGATTTTTATATTTATAATCAGAGCTGGATTAATGAAATTAGTAGCCCTGGGCTAATTTATTTTTAGGGGCTCTACTTTTACAAAAAAATGTATTTTTTAATTTGTTAATTGATATTTATTAGTTAAATAAGAAAATATTTTCCATCGGAGAACAAATTTATATTATTACATAGTTCATTTATTCTTCTTCTTCATCTGGTCTTTAATGCTCTTTAAGAGTTTTCACCGCTATCACTAATTTCCTCTATTTTTCTCTATCCTGGAATAACTCTCTTCAATCTTGAACTCTCATTCTTTTCAAGTCCTTTTCCACAACATCTAAACATCTTTTCTTGGTCATCTTCGGGGTCTTTTTCTCGTAGGCTTCCACTTCAGTACTACTTTGTTTATATCATTATCACTTAGTTAATTTATTAAAAAATATAATTTAATTAAATGTTAAATATAAAATATATAATTATAATATAAAAATATAAACAAAAATTTAAATACAATTTTTTTTTCTTATTTTACCTGATGCAAAAGTATCTAAAACGTCATCAAATGAGAGATTATTACATATGGTATTTTCAATTGACATAATTTTTTATACATACAAATTTACTTCGTTTAATTAACTTATCTTCAATCTGTGTGGATCATAGATAATTTTTAATTAAAGCCTACTTTTAAATTTATCAATCTACTTTACAATTTGTTAATGGTACTGTCGGGTATCTCAATGCGATATATACATTTGGAAAGACATTATTGAGATTTCGTTTACAAAGAATTTCGTTTTAGCACCATAGTTGTACATATCTAAAGAAACTCATGATATAATGATAAAAATAAGATATTTCTTTTTAATGAATAGTTGAAGACACTTATTTTCGGGTTTACACTTCACATAAGAGGGGCGGCAAAATATTGGTGCTCCTCGGCGGAGAAATCTAAAATACGGCCCTGGTTCGCCGCACTCGCCGGATTTACATAGGTCACGGCGCAACAATAGCGACCTACCCTAAACTTAGGTCAGTCCACGACCTAACCACATTTTTAAAATGAGGCCAGGGATTAGAGGGGGTGATTTATGGTTTGCACTAATTCTGACCTCGTGATTATTCTCGCAAGGAATGCCGAACGAACTTTGTCGGATCGGTACGTGCATGAACGGAATATTTGGACATTTAAAACAGATAATAAAATATTTCGCGGAATAGTACAGTACAGTGTCTGTCGGTAGGTATCCAACTAGTATGAATCAAGCTTAATACTTGTAATTTGTGAGCACAAATTATTTTTCTATGCAAAGTTAAAATATAGGCTTGTGGCCGCTGGGATGCTTGAGGTCATAGTATTTTTATTTGGTCCGAGTAAAATTTTAGAAGTTCCACTGCGGCGTAATAATTATACTTATATATTAGATGTATAGATATAATGACATACCATTTAAGTATTTATTATATACTTAATAAAATTACATAATATATAACACGTTCAAAGGTGGGTCTAAAGCCCCTTAGTCCGCCCCTCCCCTTGGATTCGCGCCTCACAGATTACGCCATTACATAAAAACATTATTATGCGATATAAACTTTACTTTAATATGTTATTTTAATAAATAATTTGTCTTGTGACTCTATGAGTATTGAGAGAAAATATCATATTTAAAACATTTAATGAAATTCTGAAACATATTCTGCATAGAAATGAAAATCAAATACAATATATTTACTAATAAATTGTACAATCTAACTATTCTCACTTTTATTTTCGTGTCTTTTTGATTTCACTATATAATTATCCTACTTATTTAATATAATTAATAATTTGATGTAGCAAAATATTTTAAATTATATAATAAACGTTGTATTACACATAAAATATAATTAAATTGGTAGTATGTATATATTGTATATATACCCATATAATAAGCCACTAATAATCGACGAATGCCAGCATATTAAATTTTCTACATCGATCGTTACATTCTGTGGAACTGCCACGGTATGATAAAAATATAATAATAATAATAATTAGAATCTTTTTAAAGAATTATGAATTGATTTTTTTAAATAGTTTGATTTAGTTATTAGATGCTTATTATTTACTTTTATATTTTATCTTTGATTTTGGGTGTACTTTTTTTAGTATATACAAATAGCATTTGAATATTAATGATTCATTTAATGTAATTGAATTTTAAAATATTTTATTTCTTGTAATATAAATTAAGAAAATAATGACCACACAATATTTTAAATATCAAGTTTATAATAATTTGATTTCAAATATTACTAAATATAATATTAAAAGCTGTAACAATTTTATTGCTAAATATTAACTTATACTTCCAAATTCATACTAAAATTAAAATCTACAAAATATAATGTTATATTATCTATTAAACTTTAATTATTTTGTAAAAATTGATCTTCCTTAAATACGCATAAATTCATGTATAATTATTTTTATACCATATTAATATATAATATGTAATTCATAGGACTTATTATGGTTTAGTGCCATTTAAGATTATCCATTTAACTTTTTTTTTAATCCATATCTCTACGAATTATATATTAAATAGGTACTTTGTTAACGGTTAGTTTTTGAACAACATATCAGTGTTGCGCTATCAAAAATTAAAATACAAATTTTAATTTAAAAACAAATTAAATAGTATACATTTAAATATTTAATTAAATATATCCATGATTATTATTCAATTTCAGGGTCTGGAGCATTTTTAGCGTAACCAAGGTTTTGTAATACCTGCTTGATATTCATATATACTAAAGGATCTTCTATTGTACTTGATATCTGTAAAAAAAGAACCATGTACATTATTTCAATAAATTTATTTATCTCAGTTTGAAGTGAAAAGTTATAACTAATTAAGTTAGAATGAAGCCGTTAATAATATTACTTCAAAGAAGTATTGAATATCTCGTCCAAAAACAAATTGTATTGTATTAAAAGAACGTAATACACCAGTAATGTAAGAATAGCAATTTTTTTCATACTGGACAAAACCATTCAGTCTAAATTTATATTAAAGGTTCCTTTATTTTTGTTTTAAAAAAACATTATCTGTAATTTAAGGTTTTTATTTTTTCAATATTAACAAAAAAGTACTCTTGAAAAGTTGAAAATAATTTATATGCAAGTATTTGTAAAATTTAAGATTTTGTTGAGCTATAAAAAATCATTAAAAAAATATATTGAACACGTAAAAATGCTACATACATCATGTATGATTTTCTCTTCATTGAAACGAAAAAATGGGTCTCTACTGTAAATATATACTAAATATTTTTATTCGCTACATGATTTTTCTAACTAGAGATTGTAAAAAAAATGATTATTTAATCTAGAGATCCATGGTTCATCATGGAGTTCATGCACTCGCATATATACTCCTATAGTGTAGTCTATATTATCATCGATTTATGGAGTGTTAAGCCTGGTGGACACTTTTGAATAACATATCTCTTAAGATGTATAACTTATAAAATAACTCAATTATTATAAAACACTAAAGTAAAATATTACCATGATTCAATCTTATTGTGAAAAAATGTTTTACAAAAAATAAACTAAAAAATGTATTTAAAAGTAACAGCTAATAAAAATAAAAAAAAGGAGTATTTAAAAAATATACTTCTTAAAAAATTATACCTTCCCATTCACATCCCTCTTTACAAATGATTTATGAATTCCCAATCAGTATTTATATTATTCAAATGTAATGCATTAACATGTACATGAATAATGTACCTTATAACTTATATTTCAATGGATTAAAAAATATTTGTTTTTTAAAAAAATTATATATTATATAAAACATGTTTATTATTTGAAACAAGTATATCTAACCAACTTATTATATTCTTAATATATTAATTACATTTATTTGAATAAAATATTACATAGTACTTGTTTATTGTTATTAAGAAATAATTTAAACACAAATTATGTAATCAGTATATATAAAAGGTGATAGTGAAACTCAAATATTTCGTAGTTTTAAAAATATTTAAAGAAATAATAAAAATAATTTCGTTTACATATTTTCTTGTATCTTATCCTATCTTATCATAATTACATTATTATAAATTTCATATTATATCATTGTATTTTAACGGGGTTAAGAACATAAAAAAACTTGAAGTATTTAGGGAATATATAGGTACCTAGTTATTAAGTATTATTTATTTTAATTATATTTTAGTGGATATATACTCAGAATATTATAGGCTCACTACAAAATACGAATTTCAATAATTATTTTAAGAATAATAATAAACATATAAATAGTTATATGAATAAATGTTATTTTATATTATGAAATCTCACTGTAGTATTATTTTTTGTATAACCAATGTTCTTTGCATTTATGGCTTAAATAATAAAAAAAATCTGAATAATAAAATAAGAAGTTTATAAACCATTAAGACAGTTGTCTTGAAGTTTGAATTAAACGATAAGCAATGACAACTGAAAAATGATTCTAATCGAAGATTAATTTACATTAGAGTTATTAAAATTCAAGAACTCATTAAAAAGTTATTAATTAATTTTTTTTTTTTTGATTTCTTAAAAATATTTGAAATGACAAATAATTATATAGTCATTTAACATTTTTTTGGTTTTCAAAATTACAATTCCTTATTTTATAAAATAAACTTTTAGAATTATATAGGTATTTAATTCATAAAATACTCCAAATATATGTACATACTATTAAAAAAAATCATAAGGTATCATATATTTTAAATATTTAACCTTATTTTTAAATAAAACTAAAATAATTTTATCAGCAATGATATCCATTGTTAGGGAAGAGCACCTTCTGTCACATCATTCCAAAGTTACACATCATATTTTAATATAACATCCTGTCAAATTGACTTATTATTTTTAACTTATTATATCAATTTTCTAATACGTTTTAATAAACAACTTTAATTGGTAGTTTTATGACATAATACAAATAAAATATAATTCATTTTACTAGAAATTCATATTAAATTCACAATTTTTATTATTTTTTTAGAGCACTTTAAATATTTGAGTATTAAAAAATAAGTTTCAATTAGGTACAAGTTAGTTAAAGTATTTTTATATAATATTTATTGTAGTTATAGTTAATATATTCCCTTACCATAACTTTTTTTCCACTGGCTAAGTTTGCTAAGGATTTCCTTGCTGTTTTTCCTGATCGTGTTCTTGGCAAACCTTGTACAGATGCACACAAATGAAACGATGCTATTGGTCCTATTAAATCTCGAACATTTTGTACGATTTCATTATTAATTTCTTCTTCATTTTTACTGCAATCTAATTTTAATGGGTTATAATTTTTATAAACCAATCGGCATATGATCTACTAACTTTTATTTTTTATATAAAGGCATAAAGGTATTTCTCCTTTTGTGATTTCAGGAACACCAAATACAGCAGCGTCACCAATATCCGGATGAGATAGAATTACGTCTTCTAATGCAGATGTTGACAGCCGATGTCCAGCTACATTAATGACATCATCGTCTCTAGCTGTGACATAAATATATCCATTTTCATCGGCATAACCAGCATCCATTGTATCATAGTAACCCTAATAATATAATTTATAGTATTAATTATGAAAATTTAACTTAAATTTGTAATACTATACAATGTAGTTATTAAAGTATGTGTTTATAAATCGCTCAGGGGCATTATACAAGCAAGACATAACTCCAGGTGGTAATGGCAGTTTAACCACAATTCTTCCTAATTCGAGAAGTTGACATGGACTACCGTCTTCTTTTAAAATTCTTACTAAAATGTTAAAAAAGTATAATATTTTTTTTTGTGTTGTTTATAACTGTACCAAAATTAAAAATTGTTATTATACTTTATCAATTACAGTAAAATGTTGTAATATTAGCTATAAATTAAAAAAAATTACCATCATATCCAGGGAATGGCAAACCAGCAGAGAACATAGGAGGGTTTAAGTTATGTCCAAAGCCAAGACATGTAGCTGTAATTGAATGACCAGTTTCAGTTTGCCACCAATGGTTTAAAACTGGCACCTATTTAAATAATTAAAATAAATTATTTCTAACGTGTATACATTAATCACATTTTTTTATTTTTATTATAACTATCCATAAACATTGTTTGACAATATTATAATTTATTGATTTACAATTTTTTTTATAGGGTTATTCATTGTTAATTTTCATTTTTTTTTTTTTTCATAAAAGCTAAATAAATTTAAATAGTGCACATTTAGCCTAATGTTTCTTTGTATTTAGAATGTAAATAATAAAATTATATCATATTAATATCAATATGAACACTTCAAATAAATATTTAACACTTAAAGAGAAAATTTATTTACATAATTTTGTGTTTTAAAATATTTTTTAACAAAATTATATTTAAAAAAATATTAATATGAAAGGAAATAGATAAATATTATTTTTAGACTTACTTTTAAAGTTTTTCCAGCCCATATCAATGTTTCATGATCACAATGTTCTCCCGCTACAAATAAAGTTCTCAATCTATAAGTTAATAAGTTTTTTTTACAAATTAAAATTCCATAATACTTATACCGTGTGTTCGCAAATTTAAGGAAAATTGAATTTCTCGGCCGCAATTCATTGGAATAAATCGAATTTTTTTTACAAGCTATTGGTATATAAATGCACATTTATAGACACATTTCAAAATGTATATTATTTTAGTTAGTGTAATAGTAGTAATAACAGTGTGTAGATTTATTCCAATGTAATCCAGCTGAGAAATTCAGTTTTAATTTTTATTGACAAACACAAAGTATTTATAAGAACTTACGATTTTGTGCTATATTTGCTACCAAACTCTAAAACTGGATCTTCTCTTTTAATGACTCTTAATGCAGTCGGAGCCGTAAACAAGCCATTTACTTTGTGGTCTTGTATTACTCTAAGATAACAAATAGTGTTTAAGTCATACTAACTAATGAAATAAATTGTGTTAATAAATCTCGTTGGCATTTACATTTTTGCATAACAAAAGAGAAAAAATGATTTTGTTATCTTCTTTACATTTTCACATAACATTTAAATTACTTACTATTAGTATACACTACTTATATTATATTTATGAGATAATTAATATTATTAAAAGGATTATTTTGCAATATCGTATTTCATAAATATGATGCTAATACTGACAGATTTTTATCGGATATAACAGTAATAATTTTTTTTAAAAACAAAATGTAGTTTTGCTTATTTTAAAATTGTAAATTATCAAATAAATAATACAGTTGTTTAAATAAAATATAAGTGTTTAAATACAATAAGCTATATAAGCTATATATAGCATATAAGCTATATGTACTATATAATATATAATAATATATAATATAATACTATATATACTATATAAGTTAATATTTTTTTTCCTATATTAGAAAAATTATAGAACATATTTCATGAAATACCATAACATGTAGTTATATAAGACACATTATAATAATAAAAAAAAATTTACTATAAATTATCAATTAAAAAAGCAAATAAACAATTACCTAGTAATAGCTTTTATAAAAATTAAAATAAGTTCATTTTAAAACTAAAGTAAAATGTACCTAAAATATTGTCCAGGGTCAGGTGTTCTATCTGGCTTGCCCTCATACATAACTGATGTAAGTCCAGCGCAAAGAGGACCATAACATATATATGAATGTCCAACTACCCAACCCATATCCGATGCAGTCCACCAAACATCATCTCCTTTCATACCATAGATGCAACTCATTGTCCAGCACAGTGTTGCAATATGCCCTCCAGTTGGTCTAACGATTCCTTTAGGTTTATCTAAAAATAAAATATTTCACAGTGAAATAATTTTTTACCAATACAGGTTAATTAATATCAGTTGGCCGTTACCCCTGAATTTATTATTGACAGTATATAATTCAGGTTTAAATAAAAATATAGCGGCATATCTCTATTTTATATTGAACTAAAGAACGGATTTAAACGCTCTAAAGAACAATAAAAATGTCTTTAAAAAAATGATTTAATGCACTAAAAATGTGCTCATAAACTTATTTTTAATACTGAAATATTTTGTTTTTTTACTAAATAAATTCTTATTCCTAATAATTATTCGAATGATTGTATTATTAATTTTCTTCTATATTTTTTTTACCCGCTGAATAAATATACCAACCAATTTATATTCATTACAATTTTACCTTGTGTTTCATATGAATTCAATAATTTAATAATTTAATTTTTATTAAATTTTATCAAATTTTATCCATTTTATATATAAAAACATTACAATACCAATTAAAATATCAAAAAATGCTCTAAAAAGTAAAAAGTCTTTAAAAAGAAAAAAAATCGGCAAAATAAAAGTTTAATTTTTTAATTTCTTGATGTATGAAAATTAATGTCAATTTATACTAAACATACCAGTAGTTCCTGATGTATATAATATGTAAAGTGGGTGGTTAGCTTCAACAGGCACACAGGGATGAGGTTTAGCTGTTGACAGAGCATCAGACCACAATATATCAACACCGGGAGTTAATAGTGAAGGTTCCATATTTGGTCTTTGAAATATAATACAATTCTTAGGTTTTTCTGTAACTCGATCTAAAGCCGAGTTTAAGATATCTTTATACCTGGATTAAAAACCGTGATACAAAATGTAGTTAATTTATAATTAATTGTATTAAACAATAATGTTTACAGTTTATCACAGATTGTCAATTCCAATACCTCACTATTTTATTCGGTTCGATTCCACAATTAGCAGCTATTATAATCTTAGGTGTAGCATGATTGATACGTGCACTAAGTTCACGAGCTGCAAATCCTAATAACATGTACTACATTTAAAAACTATAATAATATATTATAAATGTATACTTATTATTCTAGTAACATTGTGGTATTACAAAATTGAAAAACCAGAGTTGTACGCTCATTTACTAATACTTAAAAATGTAATTTCCTCTAAATAAGCATAACATTTTTGTATTTTAATGTAATTCGATACATATTAATATGTTTAGGTACTTAATGATTATTTAATAATTTGATCATACGGTAATTGTATATTGATTTTCATTAAGAAAGTATAAGTTATATTGTTTTTTATTGTCTTATCAATACACTTTTATTCAAATTGTTTTTTCTAAATATCAAAATCAAAAAAAAAATTACGATAAATCTAATATTTTAAAGTTACTGGAAAATCTTGTTATACTCGGTGGTTTTAATTAACTATATGTAAACTAATGTTGGAATCACTTATATTTTAGCTGTTTAGATTGGATACCATTTTACAAAGATTAATGGCCTCTGTTATTCTATCAAACATATGAGAATTTCTATGATTGGAGAAACAAACATGAAATATTATAATATTATACCTCAGATTTCAACATCGTCCGAAATTAGTTAGATTTAGAACTCTTAATTGATATTGGGATAAAAAATTTAAAATGCCGATTGTTTTGACATCAAGAAAATAATAATAATAGGAATAATAACAATAATAATAATCTTATGATAGAAAACTTATCTGTTCATTTCTAACCTCCTACAAAAAATACATTTTTAAATTTTAGATTAAAATTATTTTTTTACGTTTTTTCATATATTATTTTCTATTTAACCTTTATAAAACATGGATTAAAAAACGAAATAATTAAAAAATACGAAAAAAAATGTATCTTATGAAATAGTTTCAATTTTAGTTCAATATAGGTATACGGCGAAAAGAATAACAAACAAATTCTTATTATTTTAATCTTATTCATATTTATTTCTGGGCAAGTTAAATTAATTTAAAGATTCATTAGAGAATAAGAATGAGTTTGATTGTACTGTTAAACTCAATGGCGTGGTTACAATAGACTTATGCAACCTAAATCATGACAAAATTGTTAGACCTTTTTATAATTTAATTTTTAGGTGGTGTTTGGTGTTGTATCCAATTTAACACAATTTTGTATCTATTTATAGTTGTTTTCTCAGTTACCCTATATAACATTTAAATTGATAATTTAGATTACCTCCAAACACCACGGAATGAACAGCTCCAATACGAACAACAGCCAACATTGCAATTATAGCTTCGGGGATAAGTGGCATGTAAATCAAAATACGATCTCCTTTTACTACACCTAAATTAACTAAAGCACCCGCTAACAGCGATACCTTAAAATAGAATCGTAATATATATATATATATATATATATATATATATATATACTTATTTCAATATTTTTTTTCATTTCTATATATACAAACTTTTTCATAAAGATCATCATATGTAATATTTTTCACAGATTTAGTTACTGGACTATCGTGGATTAAGGCAATTTTTTTACCCTTACCATTCTTGATATGCCTATCAATTGCATTGTAACATGCATTTATTTGGCCTCCAATGAACCTGAAATTATAACAAACAAATTTTTATTTACATATAAATGAGATGTATAAAATTGTTTTATTTATTGATTTAGAAATTGTTTTCGACTAGTCGTAAGAGTTAAGTCATATATAATTTAAAACCAAAACTATCACGTTTTAAATATTATTTTAATAAATAAGGTTTAAAGCTTTATCTAATTTTGTGAGAGAAAAAATAAAAAAGTTTGAATACATTTTTTCCAACATTTAAATTGATTGAGTGTAATCTTATAATCAATATAAAATTTTTGAAAAATCATAAAATATAATAATAATTAAAAACAAAATATAAAATATATCTGTTATATGTTTCTAAATAAATAATGAATAGTATACTACAAACAAATATTAAGAAATTTTGCAGCTTTGAAAAATGTTTTTATTTAATTTTAATGATCATGTATCATGACACAATTCCCTTATTATAGAACATGCACCTAACAGTATTCCTTTTAGTTTTCAAAAATGTTAAATTACCTCGAGACCATCTAATGAGCTATTATTTATTTAAAAATAATTCTTGTTAAATTTCTTCCACTGAGAGTATAGGTATTTATTTCCACTAAGTAAATATCTAATCATAATCTGTCATGTTATTTAGTTTTTTTTTTTTTGTTTTTATGTACGAGTAAGTAACATATTATAAAATTAATATCAATCATTAAACAACAAGATAAACAGCTAACAAAATGCAGTTAGATACAAAAACCTGTCATGAATTGAAAGTCATATTAATCATCACTAAGCCGTTTGATAATTAAGTAAAAATGTTTATTTATACTATATCTACAAAAGTTTAAAAATGTATATTAGTATATTTGAGGTCAATAAACTCAAAAACTATTGGACCAATTTTCACAAAATGATTCACGTTATTTGGTGAAAGTTTTAACCATTGAAAATTTGCAATCACCCTATATTATCACCTATAAAAACCAGTTTGTAGTTATTTTTGATACCTTGGTAACACAGCTGCATACGAATTGCATCCCAAAATAAAAAAAATCGATAAGTAGTAAACACGAATTGCGTCTAGCTTTATTTAAACAACATACAAATTAAATCTGGCTTTATTTTTAAATTAGATGAAGTTAAAGATTGTTTTACTAACGACGTTGTATGAATTTTACCAGACAATGAATAAGTACAACAATTTTCTGATTATATATTGAATACATACATAAAGTCTAATTATGACTACCCGCTTTCTGCGTTGGTAATTTACTTATGTTCCATTACCTAAACTACAATTAGTTTTGAAGCCTTCCACTTTAAGTTTAATAATACGTTATACCCAGCACATCTGAATATATTTCAATACATTGATATTTTAAAAAATGTATAAAAAAAATAAATACTGCAATGTAATATTCATGTAATTAAAAAACAGATGAATAGTATGTGAAAAATAAGATTTTTTGAGACAAAATATGGCAAAATATGAAAATGATCAAATATGATCAAATAACACATGTCAATTATATTACAAAGGTATCGTTCAAGTTTTTACCAATTTTTAAATTTTTTTACTTTATATTTATATCTTTTTTACTATAAATATTATAACACACAATACCACGTACAGAAGGACAATACACATCTATGCCAGTGGTATACGAACTCAGATTTCTCAAATCTGAACCAATTTTAGTGAAACCTTTACAAAAATAACATGGTTTTTATTATGAGTCTATGCGTTAAGTATATTATTTTAATAAACTGCAATTTATCGTCTTAATTTAGCAAAATTTAGTTCAAATAATTATTAAAGTGATGGCTCCAGGTACAGCACACATGGTGACCTTGGAACCTAAGACACACACCATGCTGAATGATAAATAATAATAATATACCTCCCAAACCAGAATTGATAGTTAAGACTCGAAAACGTCCTCCATCTCCAGGTGAGTCACCTATGTTAAAAGGAAATAATAATGTAAAAATTAAATTCACTCTCTCATTTACCAACCGGTATAACATACTAAGGAAGATCGATGAAAACAACGATGAAAATTCCCTAATGCATACAGACACTGTGCTCCAATCACCTACTCCTCAATCAATATTCATCACCACACCAGTTGACTATTTAAAATTCTGTGACGATTTTCAAACAAAAATTGATTACGAAAAATTCTTATATAAAACCACAAATAAAAACCTCAAGTTGTCATTAAACTCTCCTCAGTCTATTCGTCTGATAATTAAATTATTAAACGAAAATTCTATCAAATATTTTACCTATCAAATAAAAGAGGACAAGTCCTACCGAGTAGTTCTGAAAAACCATCATCACTCAACTTCAACCAAATTTATCACTCGGGAATTTACAAATTTGGATTACCCTGTCAAACGCATTAGCAATATATAATAAAAAATGAATCCATCACTCTACTCCCACTATTTTTCATCGATCTTAAGTCGACATCAAACAACCCAGAATTATTCAAATTTACGTCATTATGTTACTCAAAAATTAAAACAGAGGAACCTCACTTCAGTCGAGATCTACCTCAATGTCACAGATATCAAAACTACTGCCATACTCATACCTATTGTAACCGTAACCCGAGGTGCGTACACTGTGGTCAAGACCACCTCACTGACATGTGCGAAAAATTAGAGACTTTCCGGTTACCTACGCCCTATGTGAGAAAGACCCCCCTGCCAACCGAAGAAAATACGCAGTTCACAAAGAACTCTAGAGAATAAAAAAATTGAAAAATACAGCTCCTACACATGTGGAAATCAACAAAGAACCACCCACTTAATTTATCTTCAGTCAACCAGTCAACAACGATCTACACTCACAACACAATAACCCAAATGGTAAATCTCTAAGCAATGTCAACTTTTCTCATACTTACTCTAGTATAGTCTTATAATCTACCAAATTCATTAAAAACTCATACCTGTGGAAAGCATCAAAAAACATACTCCACCTAAACCGACCTAACCTAACCGACCCACCCCTCTTTTAAGAAAAGATGATTGAGCTCATGGGCGATAATTGACATTCCCAAATATAATATTTTAACTCAACATCTTAAAAATATCATTCTCTCCTCGGGGTATACAAACCAGTCCTACTCAACTGAAAATAGTAGAAACTACCTTGAATCTTCTCTCCCAATTTCTCTATACATCAAAGTCATCTCTCCCGAAGAAATTAATAATTTCAACAAATCTCCAGGTTACGATATAATCACCAATTTTATTGTAAAAAAATCTAACACGTCAAGTCATAATTTACTTACCTTACTTATTTGGATTATCACACTTTCCTAAGGCATGGAAACTTTAACTCAAACCAAAAAAATCCAGCATCATTTAGACCAATCAGCCTTCTTCCTGTCATCTCAAAAATCATAAACAAATTTTTCTAAAAAGGCTCCTCCTCATTGTCACTAGAGCCAATATTATTCCACATATCCAATTCAGATTTAGAGCCCAACAATCAACTACTTACCAACTACACCACACTGTCGAACATATTTCTAACGTTTTGGAAAAAATAATTCTACTCCTTCGTCTTTCTTAACGTTTCCCAGGCCTTTGGTCGGGTCATGACGGACTTCTCTTTAAACTTAAAAAGTTCATCCTAACTCCCTATTTTCTACTATTGAAATCTATTACTATTTATATATCTAATACTATTTTATAAGACCACTTGTTAACTGTTCACCTCAAAAAACAGCAATTCAAATTGCTATCCAGTTAAAAAATATGTACCACTAGAAAGCGAGATCGGCCCCTTTCTATACTCTGTATTCATTCATGATAATCCTAAGAATATTTTACACTTTCTTTGGCACATACACTGACAACACTTTAATGTCGGCTTCATGCCATGATCTGAAAGTCGCTTGTCGAAGAATTCAAAATCACTTAAATATAATAAACTTAAGGGCAAATCGGTGGAAAATAAAAATAAACGAAACTAAATCCACTCGTGTAACTTTCACACTACATAATTCTGATTGCCCTCCTATCATATTCAACAATCTAGTCCTACCATCAACAAACTAGTTTAAGTACTTAGGGTTAACATTTGATAAATGTCTTACATAGAGCTCGCACCTAAAACTAAAGCAAAAACAAGTTAACTCTAGACTGCATCTCCTAAGACCCCTTTTGAAATCAAAATTCTCTTTAATTATTAAACCTACAATATATAAATCGATAATCTGTCCGGTTTGGTTATATGCCATACCTCAACTTATCATAACTTTGGGGTTCAGCTAAGCAACCAAAAACCCGGCAAGCATTTTTTCAATCTATTTGCTTCCGCTTAATAACCTATACGCCTTAGTACGTAACCAATAAAATTCTACACAAAGACCTGATTCTATCAACATTCAATGAACTGGCCAAATCCTAGTATATTAAATTCTATTCAAAGCTCACTATTATCTCAACAATTACAATTCTATCTTCTGCCACTCTCATCCCCAGAAGGTTAAAAAGGCAATGGCCTAAGAACCTGCTAAAAGCATAGTAATATTAATTTTAACTAGTTAAGTGGCACCGCTGGGAGTCTTCTTATTCTAATTCTAAACGTCATTGTTATATTATTATCACACTTACTTATTATACCATATTTATTGTATAGATTGTAAATGTATTATTTAAAAAAAAAATATTTAAAAAAATAGTTAAAAAAATATTATAACATATTCTTATAATTTAAACTTACTCGTTTAATTTACTTAATTTTAATAACATAACAACGACAAAAATCAATATTTCTAACCTACCGACAGTAGTATTTTTCTATTGACAGTCCTATGTCTATATAAAAAGGAAAAAAAAAATAATGTTTTTACTTTGGGTTAGTGCAGACATGTCAAACTCAAAGTATCAAGAGACCAAATATTTTGAATAGATTACTACGTGGACCGCACATAAAAATTTAACGAAATAAAAAAATGTTTATTATTATGTACATACATAAAATCTTCAATAAAACTTACTCGATTACAGTTTATCAGAATGTAAGACAAAATAATTTATAGCAAATATAATACTTTGTAAGAATCTATGATAATTGCGATATGACATTAATATTTTATATTTTTTTTAATATTCAATTTATATTTTGTTCATTAATATTGGTAGCCGTGGGCTGCATGTTTGACGTGGTTGGTGTAGTGGTTAAATATTACTAGGACGTTATTCATATGCAGCGGGTACCACGGGTGAAAAAAACCTGTAATAATTATTATTACGGTTGAAATTATCGATATTTGTCAAATTTCATTAGATTGTATTTCTTTAACTAAAAAATCATATGATAGTGCAATAATCAGCGTCAGTAAGAACATAAAAATGGTTACCGTGGCAACTATAGAGGTAAAAATTATGATACGTATAATTACCATATTGATTTTCTTTTGAAACCCATACATAAACCCAGTAACATCAATAATCTTCGACATCGGATAACGAGTATTCACATTTAGAGTACAATCGTAGATTAAATTATATATTGTATATCAAAATCTAAACCTGAAAAAGAATTTTTGTTGTGGAATAGCTTTGGAACTATGTACTTACTTATCCAATCATCATGTGGCTTTTTAAATTAAAGAGAACATTGCATATCACGTTATTTGGGTATAAGTTCTAAAGCCAACCCATAATAAAGATTTTCATTGTCAGCTTTGTATAGAGATAATAAAAAAGAGATATTTCCGTAGATACTGAGCTTTTTTTGATTATTCGATAAGTATTGATTATTAACATTTCATTCTCCTGTATTGTGTTCAAACATTTTTGTAGTGCAAATTTGTTTTAAAATGTCAGGAGAAGAAAATCGAATCTAGGTTGACCGTTTGCCAAATAGTGTCAAGAAGATTATCCAGAAACAGTCATGTGTACGAGAATAATCAAAATATTAATAACAATAGTCAACAATGACAATAATGGCGATAGCATCAATAAAGACAATAACAATAACTCAAACATGTCCAATGTATTTAGATATGTATATTAATCAAATACCGCTTACTAACTGATCAACGTACTCGTACACTCAAAACTACTATACCGATTTATTTTAAATATTAAATTACTATGTATAGGCATTAAAAAAAAAAAAATTTCGGAAAACGCATTTTTAGGGTTCGAAATAGTTTTAGATTCTGTGCTGGATGTATAAGTTTAGCAATATTCTAACAATTGTTCTATTATTTACGAACAAAAAAAAAAAACTTGGAAATATTATTAAATTTCTTTCCGGTGGGTTTTTCTGAACATAATATCACGAATCTCCTTATTTCGTTTATATCCCAAAACCAAACTTAGAACATTCTCCCCAACTTCATTAAATATTATGTTTTAAAAATTCATCCAGGATTAATTTTTCAATCACATCTCATCATTGCTCATTCATTTTCAATTTTTTCTAATCGTCAAATATTTTTTATTCTCAAAAATAAAAATAATTTCTAAAGCTTAGAATCTACCCAAACAAAGTATCCTTAGGTTATTTCTTCAGCTACACCATAGAGAACATTTTCAACATTAAAAATTTTAACAATGTGCGTTTCATCCTATAATTTGTCTGCAATTTATAGCATAACGAAATCCTCCACATAACATATAATTTGACTTTTAGGGCTAATTAATCGATTCCGTTTATTTTTTTATTAAAGAGAACTGTTGATATAACAGTACCTTGAGGTATACCATATTTAATTTGTCTTAATTGGCTTATAGCTTATTATTTATTTTTGACACATTGTTTTCTATTAAGTAAATATAAAGATTGTCTTGAAAGACATTTTCAACCATAGAAGGAGAAGAAGATATATAGAAAATAATTATAGATTATTATCACAAATGCCTAATTGTTTTCATTAAATTATAAGAATATTATAATCAATATTATCATAGACTTTATCTAGATCTTAATACACCATGGCACATTTTTTATTCTCGTCTAAAGTTTTATGAATTAAATTTGTGAAATTGGCTGCGGCGTGATCAGTTCCTTTGCCGAGCGAAAACATTATTGTGAGTGATGTAGAAGATTATTATATTCTAAGAAACTAACTAGTAGTTAATTAATATTTTTCTCAAATATTTCTAGGTAAGTTAGAAATCACAGATATCAGCCGAAAATTATTTAATAAACTTGAATTTATTTTTTATGAATTTATATTACAATGGATAATTTAAATACATCAGATATAATAGATTGTGAAAAACTTAAATTAAATATATACTTTAAAGTAAAAACAAGGATATTATCTTAATCGTTATTCTATTTATTCCAGGGAAGATCCGTTTTTTAATTCTATTACATAATTTATTATTTCTCGTTTGTTTATATTATGAAAATTATCAAAAAGAGGTTTGTTAAGGAAATAAATATTTCGCATACCTAGGTAAATGATTGTTTCCTTGATTTTCTTTAGTAAATCAGTAGTAATATTAATAATATAATCATTCAAATTGTTAAAAATAACTACACTATTTTCTTTGGTATACATATACTATATATATATATATATATATATATTGGTATACTCAATTTTATCCACTAAAATGTTCTTAAGTTACTAATTCACCGGTTATATCAATCAGTGGCGTATACAAGGGGGGTGTTTGGTAGATATGACACCCCCCTTGAGCCGTATCATATATTACATTATTATAGGAATATAGATAAATCGATAATACAATATGAAATATAAAATAATGCACAATACTAATTACATATATACAGGTTAACATTATCGCGATTGCGACAATACGTGACGAAAATTATTCGTTTACGTTTTCGTGCAACACAAAACGTTTAATAATAATAGGTATTGTAGCATCGAATACTGATATTCGAATAATTTATGGTAAAGCTATCCGAATTCGAATATACATTACATCTCTATTACAGACATTATGTATACATATTAATTAATTAAAATAAAAGTTTTAGTTTGTACATATTATATATAATATTTAATAATTATAATTAACACCCCCTTCAAAAAAATCCTAGCTACGCCACTGATATCAATGATGTATAAATTACATTTAAATTCTTAAAAGCTAATAATAATAGATAAAACCACGTATTTTGTAATGCTACATAAATTATTATACATTATATATTAAGAAAATAATAGATTACAAAAAATTTAAGTTACCTATTTATAAATAATTTCTTTGTCAAAAATTTATCTATTAAAATAATAACTTCCAAAATGCATTTTTATTTAATAATATCATTCTTGAAGATTATATTTATCTTTTTTATGCATTTATAATGAATTATAAAACTATTATACAAAATGATTGTATTTTTTATAGTTAATAATCTAAACTAAATCTAACAATTAGTTATAAAATTACTTTTTTTTAACTACTGATTCAATAATAAATATATGAACTATAACATGCTTTAAGAATATTATTACTAATATTGTAACTAGAAAATAAATGGTTGAATACTTACCAATCAGTTAAAGGTTGAGCGCTATTATCTAATACTTTATCCCAGGGCTTATACCAATCGACTACAGAACCAACTTCGGCCCAAAAACCTTCAGGATCTTCTAATGATCGGCGATACGCTTCTTCGTAATTTTTAGTGCTATAATTATTTTCTAAAATAACAATAAAAATTATGTAAGTAGTCTTGGAGGATAAATAAAAAAAATATGTTTGTTTAATTATTTAAAGTTAAGGTTTAAATTAATTACCATTGTGGTTTACTTGAAGTGATTTATTTTGATTTGGTACCATAGTGTTCTCCACGTAATTATTGTTAACTAAATTAGTCGAATTATACATAATAATTCAAAAATCAATATTAATCGTTTATTGTAAATAATAATATATAAATATATACGTACTACATATACTAAAATAAAACTTTAATCTACCAACAAAATTTGCAAAATTAAAATAACTAAAACACCTGATAATTTAAGAAAAATAGATTTTACACCCACTACTATTTTATACTGAATAATAAATGCTAATATTAAAATACTTATAAAAAAATCGCCGTATGTACTAAAATGATTTGTAACAAGGTGTCTAGCGCTTTGGCAATGCTGTTCAATTTACGACCTTTGTTCCAAAGAATTCTTCGTAATTATATGTAAATTAATTCAAATTTGTAGTGAACAGTTTATACCATGTATTCAATTTCATTGATGAGTAAATACTTATATTCATTTTTTTTTTTCGTAATAATAAAAATAAGTAAGAAGGTATAAAATTACGTACTTAGATATTATTAAATTAATTTTTCAATTTAATTGAATCAAAAAAAAAATATATATATATTTATATAAAAAAAGTATGAATAGTATTATAAATTAACGAATTCTTTTAATATTCCGTTATTATAATCAATTATTCACATTATTTTAACAATTTGACAATTTGATTTAATAGTAAAAAAAATACTAATAAGTATTATACATGATTTAATTAATCTGACGTTTCATCTATGTAAAAGATAACTTTAGCCATCTTCAATAAATTGTGTGCACTTCAACTATTTTAATTAACAAGAAGCAATCATAAATATAAATATTTTTTATACTCAATATAATTCTGAATTCTTAAAATAATTATTATTTTAATTAATTTGTTAATTCTGTTTCAATTTTTTACCAAATTAACTTGATGCAAAATCGTATGTGTAACATAAATGTCTCCATTTGTAAGTATAATTTTAAACAACATCCTGGTATTGTTTTTGCCCTATGACATAGGTACCATACAACAAATTTATGATGTGTAAATAGTATACTTTTTTTATTACTTTTTTTAATAATAATAATAATATTATCGTGTATTATGGAACAATTTTCAATTAAATTTTAAATATACAAAATAAAGTAGTATTAAAAATATTAAAAATAATTAATTATTAGTTTGGAAAAAAAAACATATTATATTAATTAAAATGTCTTAGCAACAGTGTATTTCTGTAAATTTTATCAATTTTTGCGTTGTAAAATACTGATTATAATTATACTTTCAAAAAAATTATCTTTGTTCCATGTAGTAAAAAGTATATAAAACTGTTGAAAACTGAAGAATATTCTAAATTTTAAATGTGCTTAAACACTATCTCGCTAATATATAAAAAAGTATTTTTTTTTTTGTTTGTGCATTTTAAATATATTAAAGCTAACGTGAAACAATAGAACAACATTCAAATAAAAATAAAAATATACTTATTTGTATATTACCTTGATAGTGTTCAAGCACAACATTTAACAATTAAAGTACTCCTCAGTTTCCAACAGTTTTATTTATTTTTACTACATGCAACTAAGATTAAACTGTTTTATGAATGTATAACCATAATCATTATTCTACGACGCAAGTCTAAATAAAGTCTAAATAAACTATACCGTAGATTTTTTGGAATAATTTTTATAAATACTATTTGTTTTTTTTCTGCTTGATCACAAATTTAAATTGAACACGTGTTAAGTTTATTATACATTTTAATTATTATTTGGTACGTATTTAGTAGTCCCATCCAAAAATGATATTATATTTAATTTTGGTAGTGCATTTAAATATTTTAACTATAATATTAAACATATTTTTAATAATTAAAAATAATTTAATGAATATTAGGAAGCATTAATACTTAATATTACGTCAGCAGACCAGGAGGGTGAGAGTTCAAGAAATCTGACAGTACTTTACATACAGTGATGTAGCCCTGAAATTATTTGTAGGTATGCTTAAAATCATGTGCTAAATATGTGGCAGATTTAGGGGGTCTCTTATCATCAACCCCTTTCCCTCCATCGATTATATAAACGAATAACAAGCTATATTCATTTAAACAATGTAATTAATATTATTACAAAATGTTTTAATTTACCAAATACATAAAATATGCTTATAAAATTAACGTTATATAATATTCTACAATGTTTGTTTAAAACTTTCTTTTTAATTTCTATTATTTTTATAGATTTGTAGCTATCAGCCATTCTGTGGTTTAAAATTTTTTTTTTTTAAAAAATCGGAACTTTAATTTTAAAAATTTTAGGACTTCGCTCGTTACGCCTACCCGGCTTCACCCCAAGAGAAATTATAATCTAAGCCTAAACTAGTTTTTATAAAGGCTTGATACTGTTGCAAATGGAATTATGCTTTGCATGTGAACTAAAAACCTGGCTGCGCGAGTAAATCACATATCTAGACCATAAATAAAAGGTATACTATAACTAAACAATAATTCACAAAGTTATCATTTTATAACACGTGTTATTACGTGTTATAAAATGATAGATACGGTTTAAAAAATAACAAAATAAATAGTGGTAATGAATAAACATGAATAAACGGATAAGGTCCAAATCCAACTTTTAACATAGTCTTCAGGGTTCCTTATATTAAATGATGGAACAATATAACAATATCAATATTAGATTTGAATTATTGTGGATAGTTAATCTTGAGCGTATATCGGTGCAAATAATATTCATCAAGCTAAATCCACGATCGCATTCCGTTGTAGAACATGAGATTGTTTTTATAAAACTATTTATTTCGTTTATTTTTTTTTAATTTAATTAGGTTCTTCGTCGATTAATATTCTTAATCCTCATAATGCTTTTTCTTGATTTAAAGAAAATCTATTACAAAGTCTTTATAGGTTAGTTACTAATATTTACATCGGCAGGCCATATTTTTTTATCTACAATTTCTGGCTATAAAAAAGATAAATAAGTAAATAACTGATACCATGGGCGTAACTTGGAAGTTTATTAGAGGGGGGCAAATATATAAACAAAAACGCCGCTTTACTACCTATATATTTTTTTAAATTTTTATTTTGCCTTTGTCATAAAAATTATAGCAAAAAAGTACTATATTATTATATAAAATTATTCGTTATTCATTATCTAACATAATGTTAGATAAGCTAAAATTTAAAATTAATATTTAAAAAAAAACTGTTTAGTTATAGCTAAAACCAGCTTTTTTTTTTACTTATTTTAAAATATAAATATATAATGTAAAATAAGGTATGTCAAATATCAGAGAAGGAATTGCCACTTCTAATTTATTCTAGGGGAGCAATGCTCCTCCTCCAGTTTACACATATGACTGGTACACCTATAGATATTATTATTATTTATTATCGACAAATCTTAAACTGCGTTTAGATATGAGCACAAGCACGATCGAGCCGAAGTGCGAGCAAAACATGAGCCCTATGCGCACAGTGTAAACACTATAGACAAGCCAGCGAGACGCTCTTGCTGGCTCAAATTGGTTCACAAGACTTAAATTCAGTTGACAGTTGTTCATTACCGACTTATTTGGTTATATATGATCTAAGCAAAAATCTATAGAAATTATATCATGGTGTCTTCGGGCATTCCGCAAACCGCTTTTAGCCATATATGAGTATAATTAATAAAATAACATTTTTTTTACTTGGGCAGTTGAGACATAATGTAGAATAAAATGATTACTTACTACTGACATAAAACATTTTTTGTGAAATGAGTAAATGTACGTTTTCCATCGCATACTAGAAATGCATAGGCGCAACTAGAGTTCAATTTCTGGGTAGGCTGAATTTTAATGATACCAGCAACTCGTGGGGGCTTCGTCCCCACACCTCCAATATTGATTATCAACATTAACATTTATATTTATATAAATTAGAAGTCCTTACGACCATAATCGTTAATAGTTTATTTCGAAGTAAAATGTTATCACTTACCTAGTCACTTATTACTTAAAGACTAGCTACCTAAATAAACACGGATAATAAGGATATACATATATAATCATTGAAATATACAGATCATAGCTATTAAATTTTTATTATAAAGCCTAATTAAATTAACAATATTATTTTATTTTTTTCAACAAATTTATTTACAATTTCATTTTCGTCTAATTTGTTGGTTACATCTCTCTTTATATTTAAAATGGATAAATTTGTAAATCGATCATGGGCCATGGAAGATTTAAGCCAATGTTTTATTCGTCTCATTGAAGAGAACGACCTTTCACAGGTGTCTGAACTTATAAGTATAGATAAAGCCACTTGTATAAGTTTAGAAAAGTTTGGAAATATTTGTTTTTCGACTTCTTTAACATAATTTATATTAAAATATTTTTTTTTACTATTTAAAGGTTAAATGCCATTCTAATTTCTGCTTCTAAGCTACTCTTTGAAATATGAAGTAATTTCTATAATTATAATTATTATAATTAATTAATTAGTTATCATTAATCTCTTATACAATTAAAATGTATTTATATACATGGTATTACCAAATTACCTTATAATGATCAATAAACTTCATTGAATCGGTTGTAATTTACAAAATGAACTACAACCGAACTGGCCATAGCCAAACTTTAATCAGAAAAGTTATATTTAAGATTGAAAATAATACTGGCCATAGTAAAAAAATATGTAAAAGTTTTCCAATAATTTTCTACATAATTTGCTAATGACGAATGTGAGTCATTTTCTGCCGCCGTGGTAGCTGTTAATACATAGTCATGAAGGCTAATTGACTCTCTTCTGCGATGCTTTGATCCTATATTTTGTATGTATTATTTAGGTTAAAAAACATAAAACAAATTATCAAAATCACAAAATATATACACCAGTTAATGGAATTAGTAACCACATGTCATTTTCTTCAGCATAATATTTTTATTTATTCCCATATTTTCTTAAATTCATCTTCAGATCTTAGAGTTTCAAATGTCTAAATTACACCAAAAATTACATTTTTAGAAAAACCAAGAGTTGATATTTTATTTTGTAGTAAAACTGAATAGGCTACGGACAAAACTGGGTGGGCTTAGCCCACCCAAGCCCTCCCTTAGTTGCGCCTATGTAGCGATGTACAGTTTTTCTTTAGTATGCTCTCTTTTTTTTAAATTTGGAAAGTAGGTATATGCCGCATAACATCCATCTAATACATCCTTACTTACATAGGGAAATGGAGGCTAAATCTCTAATTTAATGTCAGTATCATATCTATCAAAATTCGATATTAATGAAAAATTATTGAAGTAAATTGTAAAATATTCTATGTATGATTATATTAATTATATTTTAATAGATACAAATTCACTATTTAAAAACTTTATCATAGAATATATATATATATATTGCAAAACAGTTGTAATACTTTCTTTATAAAAATCAATAATTTTAAATCAAGTATATACACTACATGCAGTGCTCGAATTGGGGGGGGGGGGGGGTGCACGGGGGGACGGAGCTCCTTTACTATTTTTTTTTTTGCGTACCCCAACTATATTTTTTCACTGGAATGGGAGGACGCCACGTTCATCCTAATTGATGTCCAAAATAATTTTTATATGAATTTCAATTTACGTCAATTTGAAAACGAATTTTACGATTATAATATCAAAACTATTTTCATAATTAAAGATTATATGGTGGTTATGATAAGGGACAACGTCATCATTTCTGAAGAAATATAAATAGCAATGTCTGTGAATTTGGTGTATTATACTTTATACACTTTACGGTTTGTTATTAATACTGGCGATCGACGATATCTTCATTTTGGAAAAAAATAAATGCCCGCACCACAACTAATCTTCTAAGGCCGTGGTCGCACTAAAGTGTAAAAATAAATAAAAACAAAAACCAAATATATGATTATAACATTCGACTCATGAGACTGCCTGATCGCCTACAATTATGTTAATTATAATTTTATTTTTATTTTCTATTGTAATATGTAGGATGTTGGTATTGCTATCAAAGATTTATTAAACCAATATATATAGTTCAGTAATTGTAGAGCTATAATTCATACCGAAAGCTCTTAAATAAAAATTAAAACACTGAATATTTAATATAGTGATATAAACAATTTTTACTTAACCATCTACATATTACTACTAATAAAAATTTACATGACAAAAAACAGTGAAATTAATTATTATACTTGCAAATGCAATAAATTTAAAAATGTTCATTATCTTTTATTTAATAAAAATACTAGTTCGCAATTTTATAGAAATTCAAAGTTTATTTTTCTAAATAGGTTGAAGGATAAAAATATGAATTTAATAATACATTTTTCATATTACCATTAGTAAAAAGTTGAACACTAAAAAAAAAAAAAAAAATTGGAAAAAAATTAATATTTACAGATATATTTAACAGGAAAACATAATAAACCACCGTTTTATTATTTTTATTATTATACTATTAATCTGAGGTACCTATAAGAAGTGCACTAAAGCTTAAATAAAATTGAAATAATTATGTTTTAGCACCCATGAACTAATGCACCAAGATAGCAGATTGAAAATAAGTAATATATTTTGTAAGGTCTGGAGCTACTTAAAATTCATCACTGACTACAACTATCATTAACCATGACTCATTATCATTATTGGAAATGTATACAGTTATTTAGTTTTAAAACATGATTATTTATATCTATAGGTAAAGTTGATCCAAAGTAAGTAAAACATTAATAATTAAAAAAATAACATACATGTTTTTGTTTTCTATAAAAATGTATAATGAATAAAATTATATTATTTTATAAGAAACTATAGGATATTTAGAGAAAAAAATAATTAACTTGATAATATAAAATATTAATTAACAATATACAATTTGATGAAACTAGATTTGTTAAATAATTTATAAAGCAAAATTTATTAGTATACTTAATATCTAATTTAATAAATATTATTCTAAACATAAATATTACAATAATTACAAATTATGTTTTTTGCATATAATGATTATAATACATATAACATTAATATTTGCAAACATTATTAAAAAAAAAATAATAATCTAATTATGGTTCTTTTTTCTATTTATAAGGTATATACTGATATGTTGATTTACATATATATATACATTTTTTTTTAAAAATAGGTCCATCTAAAAGATTTATTGTCAAAACTTATCTCTTACAAAATAATAAAATCAATCTTCTATCGAATAATAATTATAATTATTTTATATACCACATTGAACAAAAATGTATATACATAAATTACTAAGAATATATTTTAACTTTCACTAATCAAGTCATGTTCCTTGATTATTTTGGATAGCTTGATTTTGTTGTAGAGACAAAAATGCTAAATGACCTTTTGGACACTTATTGGCATAATGACCCTTAAATCCACACTGAAAAAAATTATAAGTATAAAATATTTAGAATGATATTTTACAAACAGTTGATGAAACATTTTTTTATCTTTGATAAATAATGAATATATATTCTTGCTACATAAAATAATTTATTAATAAGTCTAAGTATTTATAAGTTTGGAGGTTGATAGTCATGCTTGTTTGGTAATCAAAAACCATTAATTTTCAACAAAATTAAATGAATTAATAAAATAAAAAATTTTAAATTTTAAAAATGTATAATAAATAATTAATAATTAGGAAAAAGAAGCTTTTTATCATTAAAATGGTAAGCTTAAAATTAAAGAACTAAAAGAGTCATAATAATTTATTAAAATAACACAGATACTTATTATTGAGCTGTTATCATTTTAAATTAAAATTATATAATAATAATAATACAAACATTAAACTAATAAATTTTATGACAACAAAAAAATACATCTTTACATAGTTCATTTAAAATTTTTCTCTAAAGAAAGTTAAGAATTAAAAAGTTAAAAAAGCAAAATATAATAATATAATTAATATTCATATAAATAATTATATTTATTAGTAATTGGAAATAATATTATTAAAACCATATATATACCATATAACACAAATTTTAAATATTATCAAAATATATTTATATTTAGATAGCAAACTTGATAAATTTATTACCTTATAACAAGTAACTTCTTCTAATGGTTTTAGTTTTCTATTAAATCCTGGTTGATTATTTGTTTGCAATGGTTCATTAGACTCTAATTCTGGTTTAATTTTAACAAGATCTGACACCATTTTATGACAGTACATAGCTTTGTGCCCAGTATCACCACAAAAATGACAAATTACAACAAGTTTCTTTGAATCTTTTTGATTTACATCATGTTGTTGATAAGCAGGAAGTTCAAATCTTGGACTAAAATTAAAAAATAATATGTAAAAATAAATATAGTATTTTATTTTGCATTAAAAATGTATAAATTACAAGTATTCTTACCCAACAGGTATTTATAAAAAAAAAAATTAAAAAAATATATAGTAAGATATAAGTATAACACTTGTTTTCGGGCTTAGCGTAAGCGCATACTTGAGCTCTGCATAAATTGATTTTTTTAAGCTCAGCCTAATCCATATTCAGATATGAAAAACTAGGTCCATTAGAGCCTCTAATTATTCTAATTTATGAAATTCAAGTCTTTTTAAGTTAAAATTGTATAATGAAGCCTACCCGGCCCTGACTACTCTTATAAAATCCCTAGCCCAGTCCGGTCCAACCCACCTGGTGAACACCTAATCCAGGCTATAATAATTATATACAACAATTACTTATATAATAATCAACTTTTAAATATTTAATATATAGTAAATAAATAAATAAATATATATATATATAATGATGTTTACATTTATTAATTATTTTCAATTTTAGCTATCCACAAATAGAAGTATTAAAATAATTTACAAAATACAAGCTCATATAATGATATAATATGTCCGAACAATTAAAACACAATTCTAGTTTTTAGAACTCGAGTTCATTTAAAATTAATTTAAACAGCAAACCCATTCAGATCTATACATTTATAAGAAATATGCGATACAGTTTTCCCCAATGTAACTATGTGCTGAGCCGGATTCAAGCCAGAACAGGGCCAGCTTGGCCCATACAGGGCTCTAGTTCTAGTACATACCTACAACCATGGATCATATATTATTTCTGAGAGCTACTCACAAAAATATAAGTATAACAGTGAAATATTTAATAAGTGTAACACTTAAAATTTATATTTATATTTTTTAATTTAGTCAATTAATATTTAATCAGAATAATGTAACATTGAAATAAATTATTTTAATACATTTTAATTAAATATTATAAAATTTATTTTGTTTTAAGATTAAAAGCATATAATTATGACATAGAATTAAAATGTTGATAACAATAAATGCAAAAAACAAAAAATGTAACAAAATAATATTAAAATATGGTCAGTGAAAAAATTAATTTCTGTATTTACTTGATATTATTTATTTTGATACTACAGTCAAATCAGGAGAATTTTTTTTTTTTTTTTCATAATAATAAAAAGCTAATAAAATTATTTTTGAATTAAAAACGTCAAATATTAATTATTTTTAAATAAATACTGATAAAAGTACATACTGTACAAATTTACAGTTTGGACCATCAGGACAAAATCCTGCTACATAATTCATACAAAGTACACGACGAACATGTTTATGTTTACAATGTGGACCATGGCGGCAAAATCCTCGGTCATACCATGGACAATCCTTTAATTTACTTTCAGGATCAATATGTAAAAATGGACATTCTTTGTTATGACAGGCATCTGTAAAAAAATATATATACATGGAAGATATAATGTCTAATTTATACAAACATAATGAAAAAAATTATGTTGTTTACTGAATCGTGCATAGAAATAACATTCCGGCATTTTAGTCATATCGTACTCATGTAAGAATTCACATTGATCCCCTTTTTTACACAGGCCACGTAACCAATGTTTGCAAACAATTGTTCTATCACCTCGCACATGCCTCATTGGACATAATGCTCCTTTCAAACAATTTCCTTTTGGATAAAATGAACATACTGCAGCAATAGATTCTAAAAAAAAATAAAAAAAATAGTGTAAATGAATATATTTCAAATATAATAATCTTGGTTTAAACTGCTTAAAGTATATAAATAATTAATAACATATTGAATCAAAAATAAATAAATAGCAGATAATCAATATATATAAAATATATAAATAGAAAACAATTATTATTAATAATTACAAAGGTATACATGATATTAGCAATATGTTTTTTTTATTTTATGTTTGCCCCATTAATGAGTTTAAATTATATATTTATTTGAATTCCGACTTTTAAATAGAATAATATAAAAATAATAATGATGTTGATATTTACTAATGAATTAAAAATTTAAAAATTATTAGGTAAAAATAAATATAGTAAAAATACTTATATATATGATAATTATTTTAATTGGATATTATAGTTTAACTATTTACTTTTACTTTTTATATTAGCCCATATATTCAATGCATTTCAAATTTCAAGAAATATTGTTTATTTTAAGATTTGTATAGACTATTTATTGTAATATATTGTATTAAAATATTTATCTGAAATAAATAGTATTTAATAACCAGAAACATTTAATCCAAGGGTGATATGATATATTTATTTATATATATGAAATTGAGATCAGTAATTTAATTTAGTAAACATTAATAGTATAGAAATATTACAAGATATCAATCTTACTGTCCATCCCATTGAATGGTAAAGGTAAAGCCCCATGTTGTTCATCTAAAGCTACTTCGACATTAAACTTGATATCGTCAAATCCTGCTACAAGTAATTCCATTATATTTTGGTTACTAGAAGCCGTAAAACTTTTTTTCTTCACTGAAAAATCTAAATAAATTAACTTTATTTTGTTTTTTGATTAATGAATACTGTTCATTTTTTTCAAAATACATTGGTATAACATTGATAAGAAATAGTTTTTGATAGCCAATAACTTACCATAGATAAGACTTTTTGGACCATGGTTAACAACTAGACGATGGTGGTTTTCCCGGTCAAAAGTAAAAATAAATTACTTATTAATTTTCCCGTACTACCCCCACACGATCATATTTTGTACGTTATGACCAACTACGAAATGCTCGACGCCTCGTAAAAATTTAACGGCTACATTCTAAAACTTCGATTGCTCTGTCCGTCTGTTGATGCTTGTATTGTTATTGTTTATTTCGTTCACGTTTCCATTTTATACCTAAATCCGTTTTTCAGACTTCGCGCACGATGACTGATTGTCCTCAATTTCAACTAATGCCCCAAGTCGTGCCCATCTTTCGCCCGCAACTGCCACCGCCGCCACCTAACGCGTTTCCCATGCAGCCTGGCCAACCGATGTTTCCAATACCGACTCACTTCGGGTTTCCGCCGATGACTTGGTCGCCGATTCATCACTTTCCGCCGCCACCGACTCCGCCGTTGAATGCCTACAACAATCGTCAGCAGCACGCCGAAGAGGAGCATGAATATAACGCTCAGCCACAACTGGAACAACCTGCGTATAATAACAATAACAACGGTCCTTCAAACGATTCTTTGCAAAACGATCCTTCAAATTTGTCTCCGCGTTCGGCTCGCCAGGCGTACACTCGTAACGTGTCTAATAAGGTACTTTTGAGGACCATATTCATATTTATTTTATGATTTGAAGAGTGATAGATTAGGCAAATTGAGATTCACCTATTTATTGATCAGAGAACATCTAAATAACCCTTTACGTACCTTGTACGTAATATCGGATGTTATGTGAGCATTGTTTTTTTGTTCATCACTTATCTTAAAATAATAAAAATATATAAAGGTTTTAAGCTAATATAAATTAACATAAATTAATATTTTATAATTTGAAATATATTTAAATTTTAAAATTTTAATGACATTATCATATCAGTGCATTTACACCATGGTAAATATGATGTCGTTTGTGGAAATGTAAAGAACATTTTTTGTTTAAATGAAACTTGTTTGAACTAATGAACGACTGTATTGTTGGCGTGTCACTAGTCATGTAATATGTTTTAAAGCTTTCATGTCAGTATTACTGTCTCACACCATTCTATTTAATGAATTAATAAAACAATTTTTTATTTCTATAAAATTTAATAGAAAACAAGAAAGGTAATAAGAATATCTTTCATCATTTTATCTTTTTTATATTTATACAAAACTCACTGTTGACCTGATCGTGTGTGTACTGCCGAGGTTTTGGGGGGGGGGGGCATTTTACCGAGTATTCTCATATCTTTCGACAATCAAAACGCCCAAAATTAACTATAATATAATTATAATAGCAACAACAAAATGTAATATATGGTAAAACTATTTTTAGAATTATTCATTTTGGTAAGAGAATTGTTATTCATTAATTGTTATTAATATATTTATTATTCTATTTTTATTTATTTTTAATTATGGTTTTTGCTTAGATAATATACTATTGATGGAGCTGTTCCTATTTAATCAATGAAATAAAGTTGTTGCCAATATAAGCAATATAAATTTCTTAATAAGGTGCGTGATGTGCACATATGCCAAGTTATTCCTTGCATGTTTATCATATGAGTAATCAGTATATTGAATTTTGATTGGTCGACGACCATCCAGCCAGACCGTTCCAATAATTATACAAGGAATCTTATAGCGCATGTACACTTTAAACACAAGAGACTCATTACTAATATCACATTTACACTGGCTCTATCCGTAGTATATTATTTGAGAGTGTTTGACTTTTTATTCACCTTTAAATTAGTGGAACAACAAGTAGTGATTTAAAAGTTCAAATAGGCTGATAATAAAAAATAAAAGTAAAGTAGATTGAATTGAAATTCTACATTTTTAAAATTATCAAAAAATCGTTATAAAGGGAGAAACTCGGTTAGGTTAGGTTAGAAAAAAAACTATATTTTATGTAATTAAACATGCAAATATTGATAATTATACATTTAAATTGAATGACATTTGAAAAATTGGTTATTATTAAGTAACTTCAAAAGGTCACTAACATGTCACCAACATTTTCATAAATGCGTGCATAAATGGAATTGATATATATTTGCTTTTTTACTGTATTTATCATTTATTGTTCCTATTTCTAACTAGTGTTTGTTTACATATTATAAATTTGTATATATTATAGATTAGCTTGACAACAGTTTTATTATTGTCTACTACCATAGAGGATAGAAGTATGTCTAGTACTAATGACTTAAAAGAAATTGTTTGTAACCCGGTGCATGTCAACATTGATGCAGGCGCAAATACAAGGGGGATGTCATGGGAGCAACGTCCCTACCAAATATCACTAATCTAAATGAAAAATAAATTTTAATATTATATGTCAAGCAATGATAAATATTATATTTTTCTGTAGCAAATATGTATTGACATGTTTTCAAAAACCAAAATAAAATTAGATTTTGCTCTATAATTTTTAATTTAATTTCATATTTATTTTTCTTAATTAAAAAGTTTTCTTTTCAATGTACCTACCTATTTTTTTTATACTTATAGTTGAAAGTTTATTTCTTTACAGTGTTAAGAAATATTTATGGTAAACCATAATACTTATAATCAGGGGTTGTTTGGCTAAAAATATTGGCCCGGGAAATTACCTTATGACCGGCCCACCATCCAATAATAATAATTTTTCATAAAAGTCTCCTTTATTCATTGATTAAATGCCTGTAGAACTGTTTACATCTCATTTACTCTAGGTTTTTATCATAATCTTACAATTAAATACAATATACTTAAATACATGATTTTTATAAAATTATTTTTAATTCAAGTACATTGGCTCAGTGTTATAATACGACTACTGGCTCACCAGGAACTTTCACGGTATCCCAGTGGACCAATCTGCCACTGCTTATATATTATAGAATTAATGAATTTTTATGTCCACAATATAAAATGCCTCCCCTAATAATTAATCTGGATTCATGCCTGCACTGATGCCTTGTATTCAAATAATAAAATAAATATTTACATATTTTTCATTAAAAATCTTATTATAACAGTACAAAATGTACACAAATAATATTAATAATAGTATGCAATGTAGTTATTATACAAGTACATTATGATCCATGCTTTGTAAATACAAATATTATAGTTCCAGAATTAATTTTTGTGGTATAGGTAATTATTTAATCTGTTAAATTTTTAAATAAATATAATATTTATTTATTATTTATTTTAGTCCGACACAAGACATGAAGAATTCAGAAAATACTTAGAAGAAAATGGTATTTTGTCAACATTTACAAATATTTTAGCTGAAATGTACCAAGATCCTTTACGGCCTAATGATCCATTGGGGTACGTAATTCTTATACCTAAACGAGTAAATTAATTAAAAATTAATATTTATATATAATTCTATTATTTAAGATATATTCGTGATAAACTAAACTGTTCACGGCCAGAAATAGTAGAACTTTCAAATCTTCGTCTTTGGTGTGATCAGTACCAAACAAGAACAGTGCGCCTAGAAAAAGAATTAAAACATGTGATTGAGCAACTAAGAAAATATGAACCATACAATACTGATGATTCTCTTTTTAATGAATGTTCTACAGAAAATGATTGTAAATCATGTGTATTAGATGTTACAAAATTAGGACACGTAGAAAGTAAGGAAGAAAATTCTAACCATGAATTAATTAAAAATAAGAACCAATAACTTCTATAATTCTAAAAACAATACTAATGAAAACCTAAAAGATTTTCAAAGTTTGTTATTGTATCTTATAAATATTTTTTACAATTTTATTCTTGTTAAAGATAATTTTTCAATTTTTCTGTTACTAAAACTAGACTTTATACATATTTAATTTTAATGACGTTATTTAAATTAATAGTTTTATGACAGATATTAAATTGTTAAAACTTAGTATACTCTATTTAGAGAATTATTCATAAAAAAAAAATAAAAATATTATTTATGTTATAACTACATTTATATTGTCGAATGTATTTCTTTTTAAAATATTAAGTAAATCCATTTTTGAATACTCCTTTTGTGCTTCTATTGCAATTTTTTTTTTTTTATTATCTATTGACTTATTTTAGTTTTTTTTTTCTGATGATGTTTTTGGAAATTGTCTAATTCTAATATAAATGATTTATTATTTTAATTAGTATGTATTCATATTATGATAAAGTTTAATTTTAATTTTTATCATACCATCATTGTTATTTGATACAAATTATTATTTGATGGTACTAAGCATTTCATAATAATTATTTTATTACATACATTTTTGTCTAACCATATAATTTTTATTATATATTTATAGTATAGATGCATACATGGTGTATGATTTATTTATAATGTATAATTTCTATGTGTGTATGATATAAATATTAATACTTTGGTTTTAATTTAATTTACTCTTTTTTTTTTTTAACTGATATACATGGATTTTTTATTATTAATTTTTTTTGTTTAACTATGATTTTATTTGTATTACATGAGCATAGCATTTAGTCTTACTTATTTACTATTGCTACAGGAAACTTGTTCCATTTGTAGAAACTTGATCTTGATTTATTATTATTATTTTTATTTTTATTATTATTCAAAAATAGACTACTTAATCTAATTGTGCTAAATGATATATTTTACTAATAAATATTGAAATTTATTTGATTCTGTATGATATTATATTTTATAAATTATTTATAAGATAAAATAATTTTATGAACAATTAAAACACTCCCTGTTTACTAAAAAACAATTACAAGGCTGTATATTTATATATTATTCATAAGGAGGGCCAAAGGTAAACATTTGGTTTATTGATTATTTTGTTAAAAGAAGCATTGATTTTAGAATTATATTATCAATTTAAGAAGTAAATAAACTTAAAAAATCATTAGTCCATAATATATTTATTCTGTTGTTGGTTCTGTTGACTGAAAATTAATGCATTTAGTTTAGTCTCATTAATGCGGTTTACATGTTTTACAATTACTTATCTATTTGATAAGTATATAATCAGTGGGTACTGATTCTGCTTCTTATAGCAGATTTCGTATTTTTGAAAACATTTTGGTGTTCGCTCAAAAGCTGTAGACATCAAAGTATTTCTGTTTTGTTCTTGTTTTCAGAAACTTATACCTATTTGGAGTAAATAGGTATGATGCAACAATTGGTATTTGGCATTTTTAAATATAAATTTAATATAATTATCCCTTAGTTAGACTAGCTATAAATATTGTAATGATGTGAATCATTGGATTGTAAAATACTGCACAAATATTTTATAATAATGTATACTATATGATCTTAAACCATTTTAAAAAATAAATAACGGTCCCTTCGATACCTGCACAGACAACATAAATCGAACAATAAAGATTCTTGACATCCTAAGTAGATTAAATCTTCAAAGGACCGGTCCAAGGTCCATTCCGCCATACGTCCCTATATAACAGGGACACACAACCTTCTTCCCGGGCTCTTGATCTTAGATCGTCAGTGCTTGCACACTGATTGCAAGATTAATGAAAGAGTCTTATGACAAATGATTACGTGCGAAATTTAAATTCATCTTTTTGATTATGTGTTCTGTGCGAGTGTTGAAGAGTGTTCAGCTTCAGTGTATCAAATCCTGCGTTTGTCTATTTTCAATCTCATTATACATATTACATTATACATTCGAACAACTGCTACAATACAAGTAAGTGCTATTTTATTTGACTTTTCAAACTATCCAGTTGCGCTGATCGACTCTCGAACCTTTGTAACACCGAGAGCCCTCCCTTAAACAAGGAGGAAGGTAATCAACCTATAATACAATATAAATAGCCATCACATTTACATATTACCCTCTTAAATATTTTTTTTTATTTTTGTATTTTCGGGTTATTACAATATTGACAATTTTATTAATTATAAATAACTTATAGTGCCTTGTACTATATAGTGGCTGTTTATCTTTACTATTGTGTAATAGTAATAGTATCATTGCGACCGTTGACGAGCGTTGTGTAACAAAAAATATCAACAATATTACAAGTTGTCTACTACTGTAGGCCATGCGACTATGTTATATTTTTTTTATAGATTTGCAAAATTCATTTTTTTTTTTAAATCGGGTAATGTTGTATGTTATTATTATTATTATTACCTACTGGGCCATTACATGTTGTATTATATAAACTATAAAATCAATTAATTATACTTTATATCAATATTATGGAACTTATTTTACAAAAGAAAATGATTACTCATAAGTAGAACGCGGATTTCTATGCAACCGCATATTTTTTTCCTTTCAATATTTTTGGATTTTTGTCAGTTATCTCCACGAATCATCATAATTTGAAGCTAAAGGTGAAATTTTTTTTGCATATTTTTGCATATTTTGGCAAAATTCAAAATTTATTGCATATTGAAGTGTGAAAATTTAAAAAAAAATGTATAAAATAATATTTTGTCTAGTAGAAAAATAAATTTCATAGTCACTAAATAATAATTTATATATATATATATATTTAGTTATAAAATAAATAATGGATTATGACGTAAACTTAATCGCTCTTGCTGTATCAGTCGATTATCGACATACTACTTGCTTCAAATATGCCCCAATAACTTCGGTTGACATCGAGGGTTCGTTTTCAGTCTTTAAAAATATGTTGACCGATAAACGACACAGCTTCATAGAAGATAAACTTGAAATGCATATGATTATTTATTTTAATAATAAATAAAATTTTAAAACTAAATTAAGTTTAGAAAATTCCCTAAATTTTTTTATATTAAGTATTTAAGTAATTAATTTTTATAAGTTGAATTATAAATTTTAAATAAATAAAAAATTCTTGCACATTTTTTGCATATTTTTTACATATTTTCATGATTTTTACTGCATATTATATGGCATATTTCGATACTTTTAAGTGCATACAAATCCGCGCTCTACTCATAAGTTTTTGTGCAGCGTTTGCTCGTCGTCTTTGGTATTAGTATATATAGGTTTAATAATCATTTTGGAAGAGAAATAACAAGGAAACGCACTCTATATTTAGAGAAAATATAACCTCTAGACTAGGAAACAGTATTGGTGATGGTCGATTACTCGATTTGTACATCATAGGGATGGGAAACTGGCGGCTTGCATACTTTTTTCATCTGGCCCGTACTACATTTTCAAATTACTTCATAAAATTGAAAATGTAGTATGGGCTGAAAATTCCTTCATAACATTTCATCGTTTATCGGTAAGATTTTTTTTTAATTATTACTTTCTTTACTCTGGCTCGCTAGATTTCAAAGTTCTATAAATTGGCTCTTTAGTAACTTTGAGTTGCCCATCTCTGGTGTATCAGATGGAATATATGGCCTGGCATTACTTTCAATTGAACAACAACAGTTTGAGAGGTTAACTTTGAAAATTAATCAATAAATTTGCTAAATTAAAAGCATTTAATTTCATAAAACTCACTGAACCTTTCTTTTTTACGTGTAAATTAATTTTTTTTTTTTAATGAATATTTACAATCTGTACACATTTAGTTTATACAATAAGTAAATTTTGAAGGCTTATAGTAAGAAAACAAAAAGACATGTGGACTTAAAAGAATGGGGCCTACAGTGACACCACTTTAAATTTCATTACTCATCAAAGGTTAATTGTTTAGTAGATCTCTAGGCCAGCGTCGTTTTAATTGACGAAGTGTATTGATTGGGTTGGTTAAAGAACGGACATTAGAGATTAAATAATTAAAATTTTATTATTGTCTCATTTATATTATTTAAACAAAAAAAAAAAACACATGTATAGTAAAAAGTGACCATATTCAATATTGTATATTAAATATATTTATAATTATTTATCATCTATTAGCTGAGATGGACCTTTGTAAGATTAAGAGCTTGCTGGATTATTTTGCCATGGATAATTGAAGTTCTAGTTGTGCCATTGCTCTAAATAGGTACTTTATCACAACCATTGATATTTTATTTTTGATGAAAATTATAGTATTTCTTAATTATTTGTCTCTTTGTTTGGCATTATAAGCATTCTATAAAAGACTAGTAAATAAAAGATTAGCTATTTTCAATAATGTCTAAATATCATTGATGGTAATACAAGGTTCATGGTATAATTACATGATAAATGAACTGTAAAACAATTTTTGTAAAGTTTTTTTTTATTTGTATAAAAAATATTGTCATAAGTAAAAAAAAAAAAATTATTTAATAACATTTTTTTTCTGTAATAAATAACATTGAATTGTTTGCTTTTAGCATAGGTACATATTATGAATGCAAATAAATTTCAAAAGCATTTGCTAATGATTTGTGTTCATATTAATAAATCAAATAAATACAATTATTTAAATGGAGTGTTGTATCTACAAATATTAATAGGACAAGCAATTTTAAGTATACATACACGACGATAATATATCAAATCAGCTTAGATATTATAGTGAAAACATTTTAGTACGGGAGTAGCAGTTATATAACCAGGGCTCAAGACTAGATGCACTTACAATTGGGAAAAAACATATGCATACATATGCAATTAAATACTTAAATATGAAATAAAATTATTTATTCACATTTAAATGACATTAAAAAAAGAAGATGAAACAAAAATATATAAAAATACATTCAAATTAATTTAAGAATTTTTATAATTACCTATGTAAGATTATTATATAATCAAGTTCAAGATAAATTTTAATACAAAAATATACAAATATTCATTAAATATAAATTTGCTAAATAGGCAATATGCATAAAATCTAAAGCCCTGCATATAACAATCAAAACTATAATGTTAAAATTCATCAATGGTTTACAAAAATTGTTAACTGTAGTAAAGTATAATAACTATCATAATTAAGTATATTTTAGTGAAAATAATATTATTTGCTAATTTTATTACATTGAAATAAAATATAAGAAAATAATAATTTATATTCAATAAAAGTAATAATAATTTAGAATGACCAGATGGTTCACATACTGTATCTACATAAAGATGTTATATTGTACAGGTACAAACTAAAATATTTGACAGGAGTTAATTTTAAATTAACATTAACTTTTAATTCATTTAAATCAGTAAGATAAAATATAAGATGTAAGATAAGATTGGATATTAGAATAAATACCTACCTAAATACCTTAGGCTAACAGCAATTTACTATGCATATATGATACTGAAATTATGTGATATCATCTAAATACAAAAATGTTTTAATAGACAAAACTGGGGATGAAACTATACTTAACATGTTGTATTTATAGCATCAATTTATAATCAGTTTATATTGATTTATACTTTTAAATCCACTGGTCTTAGAAATTAATGCCTTCAATACAAGCTACTGCTTAAACATGTGTACACTTTTGTTTACATTATTAAACGTAACCAATTAATGTTCGCAAATTTTAATAATCAAAATGAATAATAATAAATATCTAAAATAATCCATATTATACTATAATAATAATAGCTAAATAATCAAGTTATTTTCACATTATTAATCCAGGGTAAATTAGGTCAAATAAAAAACCAGAAAAATAGTCTATAGGTCACATACTTTATTAATACAAAATTTGGTACAAAAAAGAAAATTCAAAGTAAAAATATTCTGTTGTTTTTAAAAACTGTAATATGTATAGCTTTAAATAAAATAACCAAAGTTTATTAGTTAGTGTTAAAAACTGAAAAAATGTTGTGAATATATATATTTAATAAGGAACCCCATATTTATCAAAATATGAAATAAATTTTAAGGACACATCAGTAGATAAGTGAATTTTAAAATTAAATATCTTAATGTGCTTGGACATTACATACCACCTGATCTTTCTTGGTATATTTCTATAACATCATCATTGATCATACCCAAAGATTTTGGTGTATCATCATCGGTGATTCGATGCCCATCAAATACAAAACGCAATTCATCTACTTGAAATCCTAATTTGCTGCAATAAGAACGTTTGAGGCGGCCCAAAGTAGTGGCAGACTTAACACGAAAATGAACTTCATTAGTCATCTCACTGGTGATCACACGCAGACGAATGTATTCATCGGACACTGAAGATTTATCTTCAGAAACTTCCAATGATCCAGCATTGGCATTGACTTCAAGAGCACTCTGTTCAGTAGGCTGCTCGGAAGTGCTGATTTGCTCAGATGTAGATGGCTGATTTGGAACTTCTTCATTACTTGACATTATCTACAAAGAGTTAATAATATCAAATGCACTTTACTAATCATACCAATGGTCTTTTTAAAAACTCACCACTAACGTCAACGGACAATAGTAAAACTCAATCTGGATTATAAACGAGAATTTTGGGAAATCATACACTTATCAAATAACTAATTAACCAAGCAAATCTCCAAATTTTCACACACATCTATCATTTAATTTTATGTTTAATAATAAAAACACATTCATTAGATATATTAACGCTTGTTAAAACAATAACACATGGTAATAACAAAACAAAAAATAAGTAAATAGTAAATTACCTGATAGTAAACGAGTGTAAATCGAGATTCCTGGATATTTATTATCAACAAAGATGGCTGACGTCAACAATATAGTTCCCTATTTACTCAATGTTTAAAGGATTAAGAAAAAAAAATTAAAGATATAAGAACCAATGTTTATGTTGAGAAAAATTACAAATTTCTAATAAACTATTCGCTTTTTTTGTTTATTGAAAATTTAACCTAATAATATTAAAATTTTGAACGGGACAATACAAACGAAAATGGCGGCTATCATAACGTCATAACCACACATTTTCCAATATGTATAAAGTAGGCTTGCCATTCGTTCTGATTTAACCGGAGCAGTCCCAGTTTTAATGATATATCCCAGTGTCTCGCTTGGTCATTCTGTTTGTCCCGGTTAATAGAAACTGAAAAAATAATATTTAATTTAATATTAATTAATAGATATACATAATATATTATTGTACACCATATTACACTACATTTTGGTTATCGTATTATGTTATCTTATGGCTAAATCTAATGGGCATGAATATATACCTACAATAATAAACAATAGAAATGTAAATTTGTATTAGCTATTAAATTCTAACAACAGGATATACTTATTTTTATTTCCGTATGAGCGTTACATCAGAAAAAAATCTGTTTTTCATATTAATGTTCCTGTTAGGGATTATATCTTGTTATCCAGTCTATATGGAATGCTTAATTTATGTGCCACTGCAGACATAAATAAAGTAATAAAAGGCTCTGTTGAATTGTCTTTAATACACGACCAAGTAATTAAAAAATGTAATATTCTTTGGAAATTATCCGGGTGGCCAAAATCGGCTGAAGTAATTCAAAATATATTAGGACATACACTAAGTAGATCCGGAGAAATGCGATGGCATAGTTTATACGACTCACTTCGACTCACACACCCACATTAAGCATTAAAAATAATATTTTAAATTTAAACAGAACTCTAGAAATAAATAACAAAAATTGTTTACGGGAACAAGAAGAACATTTACACTGAAGAACACTGAACACTAAATGTACAGCTCCTATTTCGGAAGCGTTAGATATAATACAAGGTGAGATAAATACATATTATGGTGTAGTACTACCATGCCTATTAGCGTTGAGAAGAAAAATCAAAATATTAGCAAACCCTGACCATAATACTTGGATTTACTGTAAACCTATAATCAATGCGTTGTTAAAAAGTATTGAGAAAAGATTTGGAAATTATTTAAATTTTACTACTTCCGAATTTCTTAATGCTGCTATAGCATTATTATGCTATAGCAGCATTGTCTTATCCGCGTTTTAAAAAACGTTGGTTGACATGCGTTAAAACGGAATTTCATGACAAGCTCATACAAATTTTCAAAAAAACAGCCACCAAAATACTTGTTGAAAAAATACACCAGTAGAATTAGAAAAATTACCTGAAAATCAAACAACTTACGACTTTTTTGACTTTGGATCTTCTTCTTTGACGTTAAACGGTATACCAAAATCAGTATTTATCATTATTATGTATTAATCGTTGCCCATTGGGTATTTATTTTGCTGTGTCGGCTAATTTATGTATATATATAAATATACATATACATAAATTAGCCGACATATATTAATGTATTACATTCTGCAGGTTGATATTATGAGAATACATTTGGTGAAATCAAACATACATACAAATTATAAATAAAAAAAAAATAAATTATAATTAATAATAATAATTATAAATTATAGCAACATTATGAATCTAAACGAATCACTCAGGGGCTTTGTCCGTTTGATTTACCACCGATGAGTTGTTTTTTAATGTTTCCGATGTAAAATGTTATTATAAGATTCAATATATATATAATTTGCCAAATATTTTTTCGCATTTTAATATGTTAAAAATATTTGCTTTAAATTTGATGGTCCTTCCCCCCCCCCTCGGAAAATGTTAAAAATTCCCAATGTGTCCTTTCAAAAATATTAAATAGTGACCCTTGCCATAAAGGTTCTGTTGGTTGATGTGCCAAGCCACGACTCATGAATATATTGCGTACAGCAGTGTTGGGCAAAATCGATTAATTTACGATGAAATTACGTAATCGATTACGATTAATTTATTAAATTATATTAGTTACTAATCAATTAATCATTTTTTAAAGTAATCAGTAATGGCGATTACATTTGTAATGCATTACAAATAATAATAATAATAGTAATTAACCATGGTTAATCGCTATTAATGATTTTATTTATATTATATTTCTTTAGACTAGATAGTACGAATTTCCAATTTTCCAACTTAAGTCCTAGAACCAAGAATTTATCATATATATTTATAAAAAAATTAATATTGTTAGCAAAAATGCATATTATAATATGAACTATTATACGACACACACAAGTATTTAGTTAGAGCCACAGAGGTATGACGGTCGAAAGGAGTTTTTCCACACTTCGGAAATTAAAAACCTAGCTTCATTCAAGGATGACTGAAAATAGACTATCAGCATTATGTCTAATTAATGTATATCAGTGGCGTAAATTAGATCCAATTTCTGGTGGTGCAGAAGCATATTCTCAATTTATAATTTCCAACACACTAATTTTCTAATTTCCTAAGTAAAATTCTTCCCAATAAACTATATATATTCCCATATATTTCATTAAATAACAAATACATTTTGAATTATTTTAGCATTAAAACCTTTATTATTATAATATTAATAAAAAAAAAAAAAAATCAAATTTTGTTTTTAGTATGCTGATTTCCTTGGCTCTTGAAAATAATATTATAGGTAGGTATACAAATGTCAATGATTTTCTGATAGTGCAAAAACATATCTTTGCACCATCACATTTTAGATGTGGTGTTGCAAGTGCCATTTTGCACCACCCAGTTTACGCCACTGATGTATATCATAAAGTAGATATTTTAGATCAAATAGATCATATTATTGATATTTTTGCCAATTTTAAAAATTGGTAACTTGAATTTGTGTTGTAAAAATTATTGTTTTCTTTTTGTTATAAGATTTTGTAAAATTATAACTTGCCTCCCCCCAACCAAGGCTCCGGAGCCGCCCCTGGTAAACCCCTAACAAATTTAATACCTCTGATTTAATTTTAAAATAATATTTTTTTAGTTATAGATAACCTTATTATTGAGTAGTATCACAGATTATATATAGCTTATAAATAGTTATTACTGCCATATTACAAAAAAATATTTGTTTAAAACTATTGATATCAGTAGCGTACATAGGGGTGGCCTAGTGACCCCCCCCCCCAAATGTTTTAAAAACTTAAAAATTATTTTAAACGTATATTATATTTTAATGGTGCTTTATGCTTATTTAGAACTTGCGTTTTGGGAAAAAAAAATCGTTTTGGGACATTCTGTAAATGAAATTTTGATAAGCACCTACTATGTTTTGTTAGTAATTCTTAGATTACAGTGGTAATTTTACTTTTTCCATAGTAGCCCCTCCCGAAAACATTTTCTGTATACGCCACTGGTTGATACAATACACAAAGACAATATAAAAATAGTATACATAAGTTTCCATTACCTACCTGGTACTCGATGCGAAATTTCTGTCTTACCTAGCTACTTTTTAGTTTAATATATAAAAATATGCAAATGAATACAATTCCGGGCCCTACTTATTATTCAAATAAGAATTACATTTTTTTATTAATTATTAATTTATTCTATTCATTCCAATAGTTCCATTTAATGTAGCGAAATTAATAACATACTTATTTATGGTTTTTATGTTATAATTCTTACACAAACAGTGAAAATTAACAGTAGTTAAAATTATAATAATGTGTAAATTTCACCTTAATAAATAGAGGCAAAAATTTAAATCGGAATAACCCTAGAAAAATTATTTTCAGATTTACAGTAAAAATACTGAAAATCCCTTGCATTTTACTATTATTTTTTTAAACTGCTGTAACATAGTCAATTTTGGACTTAGAGAGTTGGCTAAAATACTAAAATTCATTAAAAATTTAGGCCATAAATAATTAGTGGTTAATATAGGTGTTTGTCATTTAAGAAAAAATAAATAGCTACTCCTACTTTATTCTAGTTGAAGCACCAAATATATACAGGTAATAGAAACATAAAAATATAAATATAAAACATTGAATAACTACACATTGTTTTTTTTAAATTATAATTGCATAAATTTATTACTTTATTTCCTCTATTATCTAAAAAAATATAGTTCTCTCCAATAACGATAGTTCGTAAATATTTCAGACCATTCTCACATACCAAAAAAATAAAATAAAAATTATAAACAACAAATATTAAAATACAAAGTTTATTTTGACGTTTGATGTGGTTTGATTGCATTCAGGGGGTCTTAAGCACCCCCAATTCCCCCCCCCCCCATATTCGCCTATGCCTATATGTGAATATGTCAATCTTTTAACATTCCAATTTTATTATCTCACTTTACAATAAACACTTCAAAATCATAATCACCAACAGTCGAAGTATGTGATATGGTGTAAATTATTATAATATAGATATTATATTTAATTATAAATTTGTTTATATAATTGCATACTGTTTACACGATTTAATATTTATTACTCAAATTTTTAACAAAAAATAACATACATTTAAAGAGTGATAATTTAACAGCGATAAATTTAACTTACTTGGTAACACTATCTAATAATTTGATTAATGTTAGGTCACTGTTATTATTCATTCACGCCCATTATTAGCTAATTATCAGTCTCTTAAATACATATACTCATTACTTTTTCTGTAATATAGGTCTAGATTATTACGATTTATTATTATAGTTTATAACAATATATTATCAATAATTTCGGATAAAAATACTAAATAATATTACATATTTTTATTTTTCTAGTTCTGTCGTTCTAAATTATAACTAATTAAGAAGTTGAAGTTAGTGAAGTTTAAAGTGTTTAAAGTTGTGGTAACTGAAAAATCGCATCGAGTATCAGGTAGGTAATGGAAACTTATGTCTACTATTTTTATATTGCCTTTGTGTATTATGTCAACCAGTGGCGTATACAGAAAATATATTTCTGACCAATATTTGCAAGTTAAAGAATATGGAAACAAATATTGTCAGTTATTATGATTATTATTTGGGTAAGGGGCTTTTAGCTCAATAAAATACACAAATATGCCTGCATTTGTGCATTAAAAAATGACTAAATACCTATGCAAAACAAAAAGTACCAGGTATTATCTTGTAAAAAAAAAATAGGCGAGTAAAATTATTAAGGACTTATATAACTCCAATAAATACAAAAATATATAATATGCATAAATGCACCAAAAAATGACTAACTAGTAAATGTGTGGTAAAAAAAGTGTTACTTTAAATTATCTGATAAATATCTCGGTTATGATTGTAAATGTCTATAACCGCAGCAATATCTGTGGAGATAATACCACTATTTGTTCCACAACCAAAAATGTTATGATATAAGATAAATACAAATTGATACCCGTGATCAAATTGACATTATTGAATTTATTGTCATATTATAATGATAGACTAGTAATTTATATTCTTAATTATTTATACATTAGATTTTTTAAATAAATCAATTATTTTATTTAAAAAAAATACGAGCCATGGGGGGGGGTGAATGCCCCCTTCCCCCCAAATATGCCCTTGCTTACGAGTATATGATATATGAAACTAAAACACAAAGTGATTTTTACTATTTAATTTTAAAAATTTCAACCACAAACTTAACTTAATAATCTATTTTGTGTGTTTACTGGGAAATTTCAGTAAATTTATTGTGAATTTAATTGTTTTATTTATATCTATATTACCCACGGCCGGCGAAAGGGCAAGGTAGAAAGGACTAGAGCTCCATGGTCTATAACTTCGAAAGGGCCCGTCATCTCAGCCTTTTATACAAAACTAATTTATAATCTCATTCGCCGTAGCATAAGATGCAAATTTAAATATATTTACTCTACTAAAATATGTACAAGCCTAGATTAAATATATTTAATCAATGCAAGTAGTACTTATGTATGGCTTAACCAAACAAGTGTAAGTAAAGGAGGCCAGAAATCACACAGCACCGGGACTCTCAAAAGTTCTCGCCGGCCTTGCTAATACTGTAGAACTAGAAAAAATGATTATAAATATCCTATATTTAAATTTTTAGAATGACGCATTAAAGAGTCTAAAATACACCACTGCATTATAACAATTTAAGATTTAAATTAATAGTACGATGAGTCTTACTAGTTTAAATTATTTAAGCGAGTTATATGAAAATAATTAAAGGTATTATTACTTATAAAAATAAATATGTTTCAGTGTTATACCATTTTAAAAACTACAATGACCAACCAACTATTAAATACTGACGAAAAATATTTATTGAAAAATGGTCGGGTTCTTCTAAAAGAAATGTTTGATGGGTTAGCGTACACTTACCCTGAATTTAATGTATACCCAGAGAGTCGAATAGTTGGATTAAAATTGGTAAGTCGTAAATGTTTATATGCTTAAATTATCTACTGATAAGTGTTAGTACTACTCAGGGGCAGACTGAGAGTACTTCGGCCCGGGTGGAGAAGATTTGAGGAGCCCACAATTTTTTTTGTATGATCAAAAAATTTACAGCCCACTGTGCTCGATTATCATAGGCTAAAATCTCCTAAAAGGGTGTTTAGCACCGCCAATATATTTTAGAAATATATAATACTTATCATCATTCATAATATTATATTATATCGTTTACTACTTAAAATCTTTTGTCTAAATTTAGACATTACTGAGACAACAATTTATTAGGTACTTATTTTTCAAATAACTAATGATTAACAAATAATTTTCGTTACGTATTGTATTGTAGAATCGAATACTGATATCAGAATGGTCGAACATTCGAATGCTCGAATAATTCTCATCACTGGCAGAAATAGTTTATAATAATAATACGAGTATAATAGGTAACAAATTAATGAATGAAATATCAAATGCTTATTATTTAAATTTAAATTTATAAATTCAACATTTGATGCATTACGGTGGACGATTATTTTAAATAGTTAACGGTTTCTGACATCTATTTCATCTAACAGCTCTTTTTTTACTGACATTAAAAGCAAAAACTCCAAATTTTTCTAATTTGAATTGGATCTTAATTTAGTTTTAATGAATTTCAGCTTACTAAATGTATGTTCACAGGTAACTTCTGCAACTGATAAAGTTAAAAAAAATGCATACGCTCTGCATAGTATAGTATAAGCAGACACATGTAAATTTAAATTATATATCAAACTTAGATACTATGCAAGCAATTTTTCTTGACGTGGTTACTGTAAATTGCATTACCTGAAACCATAAACAAAAATATTATTGATCATGATTAAATAAACATTGTAAATAAAACGAATATTTACACTATCAATCTTACAAGGATTCATATTTGTATGGATCCCATTAACTTCTTTGTTTTCTAATTCGATTTCCATGTCACTTTTCTCTTCGGTTATATTAGCAAAATTTAGATATATCTACGATATTACAAGTAAATAATAATATTATGTAAAAAAATTCGTGCCCCAGGATTGTGTATTTGTGTTTTATAATCAATTGTTGTTAATTTAGTAACTATAGCATAATTGAATATAAAATTATAATGTAATATATTTTTATTAAAAAAATTTTATAACGAAGGGGCCTCTCACGACAGCGGCCCCGGTGGATTTCTCTCACTCTCCGCCCAGGCCAGTCCACCACTGGTACTACTAGTACTGTTAATTATAATAAATGAATAAAATATACTTTAGAAGTCAGAAAAACGCGTATGTTTACTTGGAGGTGGTGGAGCGGGACATGAACCCTACCCATTTGGTAAGTAAAATATAGAAATAGATAATCAATTATTAGGCTACATTTTTAATTTTATTAAAATTAAATGCATCGGTAAAGAAAAGTTAATAATGTATTTTCACTTAACTGTTGATATTAAGAATATTACGAAATAAATCTACCTAAGTGCGGTTGGATAAGTATCGGGTGTTTTATGTTTTAAGAGAGTTCCAATGAGACTGAAATGTAAATGTTAAGAAGAGTAGTGAGACCAACTATGTTTTATGGTTCGGAGTGTTGGGTTGTTGACAGGATAATAGAATAGAATAGTTACGGGTATAAGAATGCTTAGATGGATGAGTGGATTGACAAGAGAATATAGAATAAGAAACGAATATGTAAGAGATGGAATTGGTGTAGTATCGATAGTGAACAATGTGAGAGAAAATAAATTGAGATGGTTTGAGCATGTAATGAGTCGAGAAAAAACAAAAAAAGATTGGTTATGAAAATAAACGTTGAAGGAAAAAGAGGAAGAGAAGGACCAAAAAAAGAGATGGTTGGATATGATTGAGAATGATATGAGGATAGTTGGTGTGTGCGTAGGAGATGTAGATAATTAAGATAAGTGAAGGTTTAATACAAAGGTAGCCAACTCCAAATAGTTGGGAGAAAAGCAAGGAAAAAGAAGATGAAATAAATTACATGTATATATATGCCAATAAGTATATGGTTTCGGAACAATTAATCAATCCTGAGATATAATTTAGGATTATCTACTCAATATAGTCTAATATTAACCATAAAATAAGACATATTAAATTAAGTTTTTAATGATTAAGATAACAAAAATATAAATAAAAAAATCTTGAAGTTAAAAGGAATATCCATTAGAATTAGTGTTATCCGTGAAACAAAAATTATGTCACCATATATACCTTTTGCATTGCTTAGTATTTTTTTTACACACAATTTTCGTACAAAATGTTTATAGATCAAGGCTCTGAAGTAAACCATTGGAGATCTCATTTAAATTAAACGACGGCATGGTGACAATTCATCCAGATAATTAGTTAGAAATCATAATACTATACTTTCAAAAATAAGAAATATCGGGTTTTTTATGTATATTAATACACATTTCCTAATCCGAGTTATTAAACTATAATAAATTTACCTTTTTTTTAACTTTGGACGTTTATTATGTATTTCAGGATATGTAGGTGATGGGATGTTATCGGCATCTGTGAGTGGTCACGTATTTACATGCTGCTCATCTCTGAATATTTATCAAGCAATAAAATACTTGAATAATTATAATTGTAAGTAACTTTTTTCCATTATTTATAGAAACTGTTTAAATTAGAATTATATCATTTAATAGGCAATGGTGGTATTATACTTATCGTAGCTAATTACACTGGTGATGTTTTTAATTTTGGATTAGCCTGCGAAAAAGCAAAAAAAATTGATAATATTGAAGTAAGTTATATAATATTTGGTAAAGTATTAAAATTAAAATAAGGATATTGTATAAAAATAAATTATTAATTTCAGGTGGCTGAATTAATAATTGGTGATGACTGTTCAAGGCCCGGTGGAAAAGTAGGCAAAAGAGGAATGTGTGGTTTATTGTATGTTATAAAGGTAATCGTATACTTTTCGTGAAATAATGTTTTGTATTAAAAATTACATAAATTTTAATTGTTTTATTGGCAAAAATAAGTAGAATATTTCATTTAGTTCTTTATTTTTATTGATGATTCATTGTTATTTATGTGTTACCATCTTATGTGATCATATTATATAAGTGATCATTATTTTTAAAAAATATTTTTTAAAAACTTTCTGTGATCAAAATGACGGATTAGTTTCATATTTTATATAATTCATAAATTGTAACAGATTTTTAATAATTTAAATTTTATCGCACTTGAATCTAAGAATATTTGGGACAAATACATTAATTTATATTGTTTTTAAAAAACTTCAAAAATATACCTACTGAAATACAGAGTGGGGCGAAACAGACAGCGCAATTTTGAAAGGATATTAACAAAAAACTACGCAACTTACAGACATTATATTTATTTAATTTTATTCAGTACATCATACCGTTTTATGTATCAAGTTCTAAAGATGACATCAGAAAGATGATGGCCGTCAGCAGCGATACATTGATGAAGGCGATTTCTGAAGTTTTCTGCCGCATTTTGACACATTTCGACTGGTATAGCACCAATTTCCTCCCTAATTCGCTCTTTGAGTTCTTCCAAGGTGTGAGGCCGATGCTTAAAAACCTTTTCCTTCAGGTAGCCCCACAAGAAAAAATCACAAATGCTCAAGTCCGGTGAGCGCGCGGGCCACCTTACATCATCTCTCAGAGAGACGAAGTGCATAGGAAATATCTATCACAGCTTCGTCATTGAAACTCAAGCAGACTCAACTCTTGGACAATCATAATCTTTTAGGGGTGGAAGAATAAGTCTTGATGTAAAATCCTCCTTACTGAGCGGTTAGAAATGCCCAATGCAATTGAATGCTTTCGAGCAGAACGCGTAAGCGACTGAACAATAGCTTCTCTCACTCTCGTCAAATTTTTGGGTGTACTTGCCGTCTTGGGTCTTCCTGAACCCCTAGGTTTTAGTGTAGAACCAGTTTCTTCAAATGGATGCACCCAATTCGCGATTACATTATGGTGAGGTACGGTATAATGACGCCCAAGGTTAAACTGCAGTTGGAAAGCTCGCCGAGTTGCAATGAAAGATCGACAATTTTCAAAAAACGTACAGACGGCGAAGCCCCCGTTGTTCACCAGACCAAACCATGGTAATGATAGATAACGGCATGACCCGCCCGATGAAATGACACCATCTTAATCGCACTATCCCCACCACACGGGAAGTACCAAACTTTCAAAACTGCACTGTTTGATTTGCCTACCTTGTATGTATTTAAAATATGAAACTATAAAATATACAAAAATATTACAATTTGATTCAGTAGAACATAAGTAAAATTTGTATCCAGTTCTATACATATATTAGTGATGCAGTGGCGGATCCACAAGGGGGGATTTTGGGTGTTAACCCCCCCCCCCACCAGGAAATATATAATAAAATCAATAGTTTTATGAATTAAGAAAAAGATTTTTTTTTTTTAAAGTATGAGGGTAACTACTACATATGTTCCACAATTTGTATGTAAATATAACATATATATTATGTATAATACAAATTATACAAATTATACAATTAAATATATTATTACATTACATAAAAAATTATATAAATTATAGTTCTATTTGGGTTTACAATACTTTGACGATGTTCGGTTCGAGTTCCGTTCGACATAAAAAAATCAGGTTCAACTTATCACTATGATTGCAATAGTGATTATTTTTGTTTTATTTTCCATTTAGATATTAGGTGCGCTAGCTAAACGTGGTGAGAGTATTGACAATTTATTGAATATTGGTAAAAAAATTAATGAAAAGTTAGCATCACTTGGAATATGTGCAACTTCATCAAATGTACCAGGAAATGATCCATCTTTTTTACTTGAAAAAGGCGAGTTTGAATTTGGAGTTGGATTGCACGGAGAAGCAGGGACTTCAAGAATTAAGGTATATAATCTTATTGAAATTTGAAAATATAATATCTGAATCTATCATTAGACAATAATTAAAATGTTAATAACAAGAACATTTGTAGTGAATCATTTAGTGCGACTTTAGAGGTACCAATTTCCAGAAATTAATTAGTTGATGTATTCAGTACATTAATTTAAAGTTCCCACCAATATCTGACGTAAAAATAGCGTACCTATGCAAATCTTGTCCACTATTAATTTATTATTATTAAGGTACCCATATTCATAAAGTTAACTGCCCTTTTGATTTTTCCTACTATTCAATTTGGGTGGGGCGCTTGTAAATTACGCCCACATTAAGTAGGTAGTAAAAGTACTATAATAAATTGCGCCCGGGGTTTTTCGGTGTCTAAAATGGGTACAGTAAATTGCGCCCATAGTATCTACTATCTAAGTAACCTCATATTTATAATTTTATGGATAAAATATTAGTTACAATCTGAAATGTATATAAAAATGAATATTATAAATATTAGTATAAATTAGTACAAATTATTATTAGTATAAATACCTATAATATCTAATACCTAATAACTAAACACCTAACCTTATAGGTTCATACATTTCAGTTGTTCCTACATTTCAAAACACCAAATAAAAAAAAATAAAAAAATTATTCAACAATGCAATGAAAACACTATTACAAGGGCTGAATATGTGAAGATGTCTCATTACTATGCAGATAACTTATAACTGTATTTTTTGGTATTGGGACAAAATATCCTGTAACAAAATATCCAAGGTTAAAATATTCAACTGATAAAATAACCAATATATAGGACAAAATATCCAAATAAAAAAAATTATAAAAATCTGTATTATTAAAACCTGTATAATTTTTTTTATTTAAATACATTGTTGTTCATATTTAAATCACATTTTAATAACATTTAACATTAATAATACTTTATATAACAGTTATAAAATAATAATAATAAAGATATATGTTGTGTTATATAATAATTATAACTTTTATTTAATGTAGGGCGTTACAACATAACATAATTTTATTTTTACTATTATTATTTTATTACTATATTAAAAAATATTAAATAATGTTAATTTTGATTTAAAAACGAACAATTTATCTAAATAAAAAATAAATAAAAAAATTATGTACAGATATACTGATTTATTATTTTTTTATTTGGATATTTTGTTTTATACATTGGTTATTTTATCCCTGGATATTTCATCCGTTGAATATTTTAACCTTGGATGTTTTGACTTGGATATTTTAGTACAGGATATTTTGTCCTAGATTCGTATTTTTTATTAATATTTTTAACCTAGCAAAAAATATATAAAAAACTATAATTAATACCATAATATTAAAAAAATATATATTAATTTTCCTATTTTTATTAATTAATTTATTCATTTCAAGTAAACCAAACATTTTTGAAGGACAGTGATAGTCGCCTCCTCATGGTGTCCCCTGAGTAATAATATATGACTATCATAAAAATATAATATTTCTATTGGACGCAATTTACTACACAAAAATTTATACCTGAAAAATACCGGGCGCAATTTACGTTTACCCTATAATACACTAATAAATAAATCATTATAATTTTACTTTTTAGGCATGTGATGTGAAAGATTTGATCTGTTTAGCAGTAGATAAAATATGTAGTACATTGGGTTTAAAAGAATTTAGTGTTATTTGTTTGATAGTAAATAATCTAGGATTAGTATCACATATTGAATTGGGTGCATTGGCTAAATACACCAAAGAATACTTTGGTAAGTATAAAACCTATAGTTTTTTATATTTATTTAAAACTATGATTGAATTTTATAATTTTATTTATTATAATATCAAAATGATTACTAGGCCTCACTAAGTTTAAACTCATATCGAGGCCTAGGATAATGATATCTATACAATCAGGGTCGTATTTAAAGAGTGGTTTGGTAGGCAATAGCGCCCTTGAAATATTTTTGAATACAAATAAATGTAATATTGTAAATTTATATTTATTTTGATGAATAGTTGAAGACACTTGTTTTCAGTGTTGTACTTTAGGGAAAAATTTTAAATACGGTCCTGAATACAAAATAAGAGATTAGTTTCTTGGTTCTATAACATAATACTAATCTTTATATATATTTACTATTTATAGTTAATAATATAATATACTGATATAATTATTAAATTAATATAAATCAAAATGTTAAAACTATAGAGCAACAAAAAATTAATATTAGTCGTATGTTTGTTGGAACATTTCTTGTATCATTAAATATGTATGGATTTCAACTAAGTGTTATTGATGTGAGCGATAACCCAGAATGGATTAATTATATCGACGAAGAAACTTCTGCATTTGCTTGGGCAGGAAATCATTTGAGTATCAGCAGTTCAACAAAGAAAAGAATACAAGAAAATATCATTTCATCAACTCTTGATGACATAAATTCTAAAGTAAATATGATTGTGAAGATAATAAGTAATTACAATCATGAGTGGTCGATTATTAAATTAATTTTACTATATTCTCAACTTCTTAAAATAAATATATATTTGTAAATTTATGTTTAACCTTGAATAATAAAAAAAAAAAAAAAAACTCTAATAATATGCATTACACATTTTATTTTGATTGTATAGTAACCAAAACCTAAAATAATTTCAAAATTTTCATTTATAATAAATGTTTGTAATTATAGATACTGCCTTCTTATACAAGGATAATTTGAGTTTTGACAGTAAGTTTATTTAATTTAACCACATGGCGAATGTAGGTATTTACTTCTTAAATGCTAATAAATACTTGGCTATTTATAGATTTTATAGTTTAAATATAAAGTGCCAATCAAATTATAATTTTTATGACCATGATTAAATTAATTTAGGGTCTCTTAACTATGATGTTAATATTTTACTGCAATCAAATGATAATTATTATAAAAGTAATTTTTCTAGTTTTTACCCACATTGATTTAGAATATTACATTTTTATAAGAAATATATATAAATTCTTTATGATTTTTTTTAATTTAAAGATAATAAAAAAATGATTGAAAATATTTTAATATTGTAATGTAACATATATTAATATATAGTTAGGTGTATGTATATCAGAAAAATCAGTCCTAGTATTCAAAAATATATTGACACAAATAGGAAAAGATATTTTAAAAAATGTTGATGTTCTAAACAAACTGGATCAGGAAATTGGTGATGGTGACAACGGTTCAACTATTTCTCGGTTTGCTTCAGGTAGAATTCTAATTTTTTTTATCTTCAAAATATAATTCTATAATTTAAAAAGTATTGTAATATAATTATCTAGAAATGTTAACATCTCTAAATAAACTTCCGTTAAGCCATCCAGCTAGTGTTTTGTATTCATTAGCATTCATTTGTGAAGATAAAATGGGTGGTGCTTCAGGAGCTCTTTATAGTTTATTGTTGACGGGAGCTGCAAGTCATTTGGCTTCTAAGGACTATTTAGACTGGACAGGGGCATTACAAAATGCTCTAGAAACCGCTATGAAATATTCAAGTGCCAGAAAAGGAGATAAAACTATGGTGATTATAAAAATCTACTTTGTACTTATATATATATATTATTAGCCATAATATAAGAAATATAATTTTAATGAAAATAATTAATAAATTATTTTTAGTTTGATCCAATAATAGCAATATATGAAGTATTTCTGAAATACAGTAACGTAAGTTATAAAATTAGCTCTAAAGATTACAGAAACATTTTAGAAAAAGCATTACAGAATGTACAAGATGTTTGCAAAAATGTAAAAGAAATGAAAGCAGAGTTAGTTTAAAAATCTTATTTTAATTTTTAATTTTTTTGGGTTATATTAATTGCAAAATAATTTGATTATTTTTTAGATTTGGTAAGGCTTCTTATGTAGAAAGTGTTACATCTGTTGGTAAAATGGATGCTGGAGCTCATGGTGTAGCAGTATGGTTTAACTCAATATATACAGCATACAAAAATAACACAGAATAAAAAAATTATCAATTTAAATATGTAGTGTTAAAATAAAATAATTAATTGTATTTACTTTGGTGATTCATAATAAATGAGAAATAATATTAAGTATATTTTTTTTATTAAAGAATTGTATTTATGTAAATATAATTTGTAAAAATAAATAAATTATAAAATAATTGATATCTAAATTAATGCATTACATAGTAAGTATACAATTAAATATGTTTAGGCTAAATCATATACATTTTTTTAAATGTTTAATGAATAGAATGTAATTTAGTTGAAAAATTAAACCATGGAAAGCTTTTTTTTAACTTTAAAACAATAAAAATGTATTTATTAAAATTATTAAAAATAGTTAAACATGAAACATATAAGAACTTAAAAATTACTTATTACCTAAATTAGTCTTAATAATATATATAAGGAGTCCTTAATTAGATGCTAAAAGTAAGTATGATATTAAATTAAATTTATGTAAAATCGTCAGTGTATTTAAATATCTTAATAGATACATGAATCTATTTAATAATTAAACTATAAGCATGTTTAACACGTCTATATTTTACTAGAGATTACATAATTATTTTTAAATATTAATAACTTTAAAGTATATATATATGAACAAAATGTAGACAGCTAAGTAAAAAGTAAATTGTTCAATTTATTGAGTATGTATATAGGTCACTAATTAATAACTCAATACCAATGACCAAGACCAGTTATGTTGACCATTAAAATATTATATTATGAAAATGAGGTTGTTATTTAAAATATATAAACTGTACAGCTGACAAATATAAATAAAACATTTTTCATAATTTATCATTGTACTAATTAAATAAACTAAATGTTTGTTTATTATTTAAAAAAAATTGTAAAATTAAATACTATGTATTTTTATACATTTGTGTGTAAAATTAATTTAATAATAATTATTGAAATCAATAAAAAACATTATTTTTAACAGACATGAAAGCTTTATAAATACATTTTATAATTAGCAACAATTCATCAAATCCAAAATGAATTATTTACGTACATAAACCTATTAAATATAAGTATTATTATAATCAATTAATAGTTCTAACATAATTTACATACCACCAGATCTTTCTTGATAAATTTCAATAACATCATCATTCATCATGCCTAATTTTTTGGGTGTATCATCATCGGTGATTCGATGTCCATCAAAAACAAAACGTAACTCTTCAACTGAAAAACCTAGTTTGTTACAATATGAGCGTTTCAGGCGGCCCAAAGTTGTTGCGGATTTGACTCGAAAATGTACTTCATTGGTCAAATCACTGGTGATTACACGTAAACGAATATACTCATCTGAAGACGATGCTTTTTCTTCAGGAACTACAACTAATGCACCTGCATTTGGATCACCTTCATTCATGCTTTGTTCAGTGATATTTGTTTCTTCAGATGTAGATGGTAAGTGTTTTGAAGTTTCTTCTTCGCCTGACATTTTTCTACAATAAAGTTAAGGAATGAATAAATAAAAATTGTAAAGTAGTTTTTTTTTGAATATTCACTACCAACATTTTTGAAGTTTTAAATTAAATTAATAATAAAATATTAAGATAACCTAAAATTTTTTGTTATAAATAACAAGAATATGGACCAATTTCCAAATGATCCAGTTTGAATATTTAAATTTGATAAAGTCGAGACTCCAAGAGTAAACAAAAAATCAACAGCACACAATGTTGTGCCAGAAATATAGACGCTTTCATGAACTTAATTAACTTTATCAAATTATATCATGTATAATTTTCCAGATAACATATTTCTCTCTCAACTATGGTTAGAGTTACGTAGCTACGAAGATGTACTACAGAATAGATTGTACGACCACGAAGTGACCATTTAACAAATGAGTCATGGCAGCAGTGTAGCCAATCTCCATTTTTATCGTTCAACAACTATAAAAGTATCGTGTCTAGCAAATAATATATTGTACAAAAAATGTTAAACATACTAGTGTTTATTTTTTTGAAATGAAGATGATCATTTGTGCTTTGTCTACTAGATCGTAAGCGGTACCGAAAGTGCGACTGTCAAGAATTGCTATTGAATGATTAACTAAGAAATACTATATTCAACAAATAATGAAACCCCATTAGTTTTTCGTAGATTAATTTTTTTATTGGTTTTAATTTTAAATAATATACTTAATATTGTATTGGTAAGCCAATTGTATAGTTATGATATAATGATATAATATCATTTATATTTTTTAAACTCAACAATGAAGTTACAAATAGTTATAATTAATTTAAAATAATTGTTTACGTAAACATAAAAATTAAAACAATTGGCATTTAAACTTCTCAATTAAAACATATTAACCAAATTATTATAACAATACAAATTCATCGAATTCACTATAGTGATCGATAAACGATATGTTATATTGTTTATTTGTTTACAAATAATTGTTTTGACAATTTACTTCTCTATAATATTACTCATAGTCATTTCTCAGAAGTCATAATACTGCGTGCGATATATTTGGTCGCTACTCGGCACCCGGGCACTAAAGGCGCACGGGCGGATCCAGAAATTTATCAAGGGAGTGATTAATATTTATCCAACAGATACTATGTATCTAACGGCCATATGCAAAAAAAAAAAAATGTTAAAAGCAAAATACTCACAATACTCTGAACTAGAGATGTTAAATTCGTGGACAAATAGTTTAAATGAACTATTCACATTGGTAAACAATTCTAAACCGTTTAAGTACCTGTATCTAACATTTCGCAATGATCCTTTTGATGTCTTTTTAGATAGACCATTCAGTACAGGAACGGTGGGAGACAATATGATTTAAATTACAATTGAAATATTATGGAGCAGTAGTTAGACGAATTTCGCACGTGTCGATGCAATGATTAAATTCACCACAATGACTACAACGTTCTTTACTACGACAGTATTTCTGAGTATGCCCAAACCTCAGGCAACGCATACACTAGACAGGTGAACGAATATTGGGGGAAACTACATGAATAACTTTGAAAATGCAAATATTTTCAGGGAGTTTAGGTAACAGAAATTTGATTTCAACTAGTTTTGTGGGAACTAGAATGTTATCCCGTTTAATATTGATATGGCGAAATTCAACAGCTTTATAGCGGCACTTAAAATCTTCCCAGAAATCTTCCTCGGATACACACGGATCGAGGTGTATGACTCTAAGGCTATAAATAAGAGAGTTTGAAATACTAGCCGTAAAGTTATTTTCAGATAGCCATGGAAAAATTAGACATATATTGGCATAATGTGGAGAGTCAAAATTTTGACTCTGTGCGAATCAATTGGTGATATGCTGGTAATACCTTTGAAGTTTTTAATGAAAAGTTTGCCTAACTTGACAGGATGCAGATTACCAACATTTTTGTTTTGATAGACGAAATAATTATATGAAGGGGGCTGGTGTAGTCACTGGAAAATGTTTCATGCGCGTTGAGTTACTTTGCGCCTGATATGGAAGACTGGGTCCGAGATGGGTAAATTAATATTCAGCTGTATATTAGTTGGACTATCTTTAGTCTCTAAAGTACCTTCCGTAGTATGGTTTTTGAGAGGAATTGTTGATGGTGTGCTTTTAAAAGGCAATAATGGTGGTGACTTACCTTGTAGAAGATTTGTGATTTTTTGAATATGTATATAATGATATTGGAGACTTGGCTTTGTTTTTTTGGACGTAAAAACCGTGTCATTACCATCTTGAGATGACAAGGGAGAGAACCCATTGCGGCCCAGCGAAGGCGGCATGCCAGTACGGGCGACGGTCAAGGTCTATTTACACTCAGCAGTTACGATGAAAACGACGATGAAGAAAATAAAACGGAGTTAATTAATATTTAAAAATGATAAATTGACACAATATTAGATAAGAGAGCGAGCAACAAGTACGTGTGTGCAACCCAACTGAATTATCGCGACTGACTCAATAGCGTTATTTCGCTTATTTTATTCGGGAACCCATTTTATTTTTAGCTCTGAAGACTATTTCGGTTCGGTCCGATCAGTATCAGTAACACGTAATCTAATGGAAGTGTAAACACTGCTGGTCGCTGTCAGGTATCGACCGGTTGATGCGCGATCCAGACCGCCGCGGTCATGAGCTTTTTGATCGAGACTGTCAAGTGTGAATCAATCAACGCGCAAGTTTTGGTCGTAACATAATTTTTTGATAAGTTTTTACCATTTTGTTTACAATTAACGACGAAAATATTTAAAAAATTTGGCGTCATCGTTTACTATTTGGTGATAGTGTTGAAAATACTCCTTCCTCTTGGCGATTCCGGACCATTGGGTGAACCTAAAATCGTCTATTTGGATTCCTTTCTCTAACTTCTAAGTTATGTCGTAGTATGGGCAGTGATGCTTTGCTAGCATCAATCTTCATGATAGGCACAGTGAACTTAAAATAGCGAACTTCATTCCCCGATAACTTCGAAACAAAGTCCAAGCCCCAAATTCTGACTTCACCATCGTTTTCAGCGTACTTACCTACATATATTTCAATTACAAAAATCACAAAAAAAAAGGTGTCCGGTAAAGTAGAAATATACGCTAACTTCTTCCTCTTCATCAAGAATTAGTGCAATTTTCATCAAAGTAAGTTTTGAAAATGCCATTATTATAGGACTTACAACAACATCAACACCCAGTGGTAACGAGCCAACTATCTAGATTTGATTTGATTGTGACCGGGAATGTGAATAATATGTCATAATTCTTGACCGTGACCGAACCGTGATCGGATCGAACCGAGACCGCTAGTGTGAATCGAGCTTAAAATTTTAAGTACATAAAGTCCCGAGCTCTGGTTATTACTGTTGAGTTACATCCAGTGCTCGACTTGAGGGGGGACGCAGGGGGTCGGAGTACCCCAACTAATTTTCAGAAATTTTAGTGTCCCCCTACTATTATTACGCTATAATCATAACGCTCAGCTAGTTTTGGGGACTATTTTATACAAATGTTTTACCAATTTACAGTTTATTTTTACATTACAGTTAATGAATTGCTATTGGAATATAAAAACATTATAGTTAACAAAACTTTTCAAACAACTATCAATATAATTATTATAATATTTGTATAGTTGTATATTTTAAGTTCAAAGCATAATAAAGAAACTACGAATATATTACACGTCATCAATAATAAAACAATTTTTTTTTTTTTTTTTGGCCCCGGGCGGGATTTAAACCCGGAAACCACCACCATATGTATGCCATTGTCTACATAATTCTTGTTTTATCCGTAGTTATTACTTCCATCAGGTCCAACTGTATTATTAACTTAGTTAAGAACAGTAGTGGCTCATAGTAAATATTCTGAGATTTAATTATTTAACATAAACTCCGTACAACGACGAAGAAGAAAAACCCTTTTATTGGAAAATTAATTATACTTAATATTTAGTTAATATCTTTAACTTAATTTAATGGTAAATTTATTTATAAACTAATTCAATTCTGCAATTTTTTTAACTACGAGTTTGTAAATGACGGTGCACAGTAATGCTCTGCATTTTAAGAACCAGACCGGACTACAAATTTTACCAGGGGACCGAAGTCGGACCGGACCACACTTAAACGTTAATCAAAGACCAACATTGAACCGAACCAACGGCTTCATAATATTTTTAGACCGGACCGGACGAGTAATTAAATAACATTTAATAAAGTAGACCGTAGACCGAACTGTGGGTCTGATCTTAATACATTTTGGATTCTTTATGGACCGATCCGTAAGTTGTAGTCTGTATTAACCTAGACCGTACCATATAATGCGTTTAGATTTACACTGGACCGGACTACCCGATTTTATAAATAAATATATACCTAAAGTTGTAGGTCTTTTTCCTTTTATTTGTTTACATAACAATATCTGTCTTTAGATTTTAAGTACTATGATTGGGACCGGACTGGACTGATTTTCATTTCTTTTTTTTTGAAACCAGACCGGACTGAAAATAATACATTTGATCTGAGGACTGGACTGAACTATTCCTAAAAATATTGAACCAGACCAAACCGACGATTCAATAATTTTTATGTGTTAGGACCGTACTAGACCGGACCATTCAGAGCACCAGTGCACAGCGATTAACGACGCCGCGATGGCACGGAAATTATTGTCCTGAATCAAGTTTCAATAGCGTCTATAATACGCGGATTATTCTCCTCGGTCCCCTCCGCCCAACAAGCCAAACCATTACAATGTAATGATTGCATATTACTATTGAACCTGTCGGACGTCAATTTCACTGAAACGGCGACCATCGTCGAAATTATTAAAATAGTGTCTCTATCCAAATAACTATTTATAGGTTTTATATTTTGTGGTCATAAATTTATAATAATAAATATAGAAAACGCTATAACATTCGAGTATTTTCAATAAAAATAAAAATATTTCTATACATTTTTAAATAGTTATTATCTACAAGTAGCTGTTTTTTTTTTAAGGAGAGACATAGTCTCAGTCTCCCCTGACGAGCCGCCCCTGGTTAAGAGGTCTATGGTCTATATGAATATAGTTTATGTCTGGACCACACAGGGACGGATCCAGGGGGTGGCCTAGAGGCACAGGCTCCCCCAGACATATTATTTCTCAAATTTTTTTTATAATTCTACACATCGTGATATTACTATTTTTCAAATCACATATAATATACTATATCTGATAATAAAAGAATATAACCAATATATAATATATTAAACAAGGTGGATATATATATATATATACAATACACACGCCTTACTTCTTTGTGTTTACTATGTGTTCATAGGGAAGTTAAAATTAACATTGAACAAATAATTGATAGATTTGAAAAAAGCGACAGTGTAAAAAGACGTTAAGATTTTATAATTTAATATATAACATTTATAAATTAAATAATTATTAATTTATTTATTACATTGATTACCTATGTCCTATACCTACCTACTATTATGACAGAATTTTTAAATTATGTATAAAATACCTATAAAAAAAAATTGTAGAGACCCTCCCCAGATCTTTACTCTGGATCCGTGCTTGGGACCACAATTGTTTTAGTCAATCAAGAACATAGACATATAAAGATATAGATGTCTATGGTGAAGAACAATCAATAGTTTATACTTGACCTTGATCCGTTACAGCAGCTGTTTGGAAACGAGTAGGAAGGGCCCGGGTGCGCTGATAACACATTTTTGTTATATAGTATCTATAATTTACTTATTATCACTAATACATGCTGGTTACCCTGACAAATTGTACATATTTTTCTTTTTTCCGCAGGTTGTTGTGCTTCAGTATGTTCTGCTATCGTACAATATTGTGCAACTTGTTTTGATCATTCTATTCGTCGTTTTCAGGGCTACTGAGTTCTGGTTATGTTCATCCGCATTATGTCAAGAGTTGTGTTTTCTTTCAATTTTTGATTATATACGTTTTGTGAATACCATGTTTTTAGTCAAAGTACCCAGATATTTGACCAAGAAGGCAAACAGTGTACCATGTCTTCTCTATCATAAAAATGTAAGCAAAAATCATAAAGTTTTCTGTTATATTATAAACTAAAATAATTATAAAAATATTCCAATGATTAAATTACAGTTGACTCTCAATAATTCAAACCTTCGATAATTTGAATCATAAAAACATTTAAATTACTTGGGTTATAATATTATTATAATATTATACATAATTTAATATAAATAATATAGTTATTACATATTTACATCATAACTCGTATGTGTTTTTATATTATAAACTTATAGGTACTTAATATTTAGACCCCCCCCACAAAAAATTTGAAAATACGCCATTGATATTATATGTAGGATAATTGATGACTAGTCAAAACTTAAGGGAAAGAATAAAAAATGTTTTGATAGATGTTATATTGGGATATGTTATTATGTCATAACTAGGACTCAAATTTATATGTATTAAAAAAACCAAAATATGTAAATATATATTTAATAACAAATTACTTTATAAATGACAAGAAATGAAAATAAAAATATTAAGACACTTGAATTAAAATTATTAAATTGAACCTTATTCATCTTGATAGAAATGAGATACCATTTACTTGCTCAAATTGTCAAAGTTAAATGATCTACTGTTTGGTTGTAACAGATTTGTACAGAATTAAGAAGTGCTCGACTTCTACAGAGGTAATGGGTGCAAATTTTATATTTCTAATGTCCAAAGGAATGAGCTCTTTCTGCAATATTAGACCATTCATTCCACAATGTTTATCTCTAATTTATTTAAGGTAGTTTAAATTAGGATTTTTGTTTAATACACTACATTTTTTCTTTTATTGCAACTCCTAATTGTCTTCGTACTTGTTCTATGCATTTTACAGATTCTTCAACGAGTCCTTAACTTTAAACTAAAGTTATTTTTCTTGTCTAAAATATTGAAACATCAAAATATCGAACATATATTAAATTTAATAATTGGTATTATTTTGTTTACGTACTTTTGGAAGTATGGGAAATTGTCTGTATTGAATTATTTATAAATTGTTAAAGGACAAATAGTCAAAATATGTAAGAAAAATCTAATTATTGAGAAATATATAAAAATATTTAAAATAAAATATAGTTAATTTCATTAAAAATCACTTGAAACAAATTTATTACTTAACCCGGCATCAGTGGCTTTGGTCTTTTTGACTGACAGTTTTTTAATTTCTTAAATAATTTATAATTGGAACCATATCTGTCTTTTTTCTACTCAGTACCTTTTCTTCGAATCATAAAGAGTAGTTTTGTGTTTTAACGTAAATTTATATCGTTAACATGAACTTATACCGTTTATTTTAAAATTATGGTTAAAATGACCGATGCCAATATTTTCGTTAATATTTAACATTGTTTTCTTGGTTTTATAATTGTTTTTATTTATTTATAATATAATTAATTTTGACGTCAACGTATTGTTTAGACAGTTATAACTTGTCTATTTATAAGCATTGTGGCTAAACCCATAGATATATTATACTATCTGTGATTATAGTAGGTAATAAGTATTATCAGTCACCACACATTTACGCTTTTCAAGATTATATTGACATTTGACTGTTCAGTATCGACTAAAATTTTAGCCGCTGTATTCATTTTAATTCACCCATCTATCGAGAACATACTGTACCAGCATGTCCCGAATGTTCTAGAAGCATGGCAGTAGACGAAACTGAAAATTCGGACGAATATGTGTTAAGTCACTCATTTTATAAAATAATATTTTTTTTAAATCAAATCTATTTTTAATTTTAAATGTATCGACGAATGAAATTATTTATAATTTTTTATTTAATAATATTATTAAGTATTTGATTATTTTTGGGATTTTGAAAACTTTTCATTATTTGAAAATTATAAAAAACGAAATGCATAAAATTAGATATAAGTAAAATATAAATCATATTAAATAAATATTATGTTTACATGAAAATTAACAATATTAATCATCTTAGTTGACGGATAATAGATCAAAATGTATAATTTTGTATTCTTCGGTCAAAAAGACCGATGCTACCTCTCACGTGTTTTTAAACCGTGCCACTGATGTCGGGTTAAATTAACTGATCAAGTCACAGTAAAAATATAACTAATGCAATATATGATATAAAAATGAATACATTATTTGTAGGTGATTGATCATTATGAAAATCCTCGTAATGTTGGATCTTTAAATAAAAATGACAAAAATGTTGGTACGGGATTGGTCGGTGCTCCTGCTTGTGGTGATGTCATGAAGTTACAGATCAAAGTTGATGATGATGGTAGAATCATTGATGCTAAATTTAAGACATTTGGTTGTGGATCTGCAATTGCTTCCAGTTCACTAGCTACAGAATGGGTTAAAGGAAAAACTGTTTGTATATATATATTTTCCTATAAAGTATTTAGGAATTAATTATATTCAATTAAATTGTAAAGGTTGATGAGGCGTTGTCTTTGAAAAACACAGCAATTGCTAAAGAACTCTCTCTTCCTCCAGTGAAGCTTCATTGTTCAAGTAATTTCACTTATCTTTACTAAAACATACTACTTAAATTTCTAGCTAGCATTCAAAATATATTTCAATTAAATGTATTAGTATCACAAGGTTTTGATAATTGAGTTCAATTATTAAACTAGATATTAATTTTTTTCATTATTATGGTATATTAAATCACCATTGTACCTAAACTTACTTTTATAAAATGTTATGGTCTATTTTAATTTGCTTATTACCTTGACTATCTCATGTATTATGTGATCCATAATTTTATCAGGTTTCATTGTTCTTGTCAATAAATTATCTAATTATATTTACTTTGACTTTAAAATTAAATATGGTTATACATTTTTTTTTTTCAACTTCAATTTATGAACAAAAATGACATTTAAATTCATTATCATTTCGTACTAGGTACAAGTTATACTGAGTAGATTGTATATGCCATAATATAATTATTAGGGAATAGGTTTTGAAAGAGATAGTGTGTTATTTTGGATTTACTCAACATAATTTATTTTACTAGGATTAATATAAATATTTTTAAAGCTATAAATATAGTGTTAAAAATGTTTGAATATTATACGTATCTCAAGTTTCTAAGCAGATTTCTATATTCAGTGATATGAAAAATATTTTGGTATTCTTCAATTAAACATATACTAATATATTTTTTAAACAATTGAAGCATATAAAATATGGTACAAAGATCCATGTCTAATTAAAGATATTTTAAATAATATCACATTCATTTGATAGTTAATGTGTTAATTGTTTTTAATAAAAATAAAAAATAAATTTCTTTGATTAAAATAATTTTTAATTAGTGTTGTATTCAGGGGTGCAGCTAGAATTATTTTTTCTGAGAGCGTTCATATTTTTAATGCCGTGTATTTCAAGTGTATATATTTTATGAGATAAAAATATTGGTAATAATGAATTTTTTAGTACTATATAGATCGATAATGAATTATTTAAATAACCCTGGTAAATGTTTATGCTATTAATTTTAAACCATATAAAAATATATAACAATACTTTTTTCCAAATTTGTTAAAATGTTCAAGATGGGTATGAATATCTCCTTAGGTATGCCTTTGGCTATACTGACTACCTAATTTATTTATTATAATTTAAAGGGTACTTAATATATGTATAAAACTATTATATTGCCTTTTTACATTATAAGTAATTATATTTTTCCAAAATTATTTGTTTTAGTGCTGGCAGAGGATGCTATTAAGGCAGCATTATCTGACTATCGCATTAAACAACAAGAGAAGAAAAAATCTAAAGAAGATTAGTAATCATAATTTTAACAAATAAGATTTGTATTAGTTCATAAAATTTTCATACTTAGTTACAATTGTTCCAATCAATTATTTATATTAGTTTTTATGTGAATGATTCAATTTTAATTTAATATAAAATATAAAAATAAAAATATCTCTAAAATATCAAAATAGTTGTTGCTTTTTTAGTTAAAATTCATAACTTGTTTACAACAAATATATTTTTAATAAAATTTTCTTATTTTAAATTTTTAACTACACACATTTATTATATATTCAATATAAGATTATACATTATAAAAATTATGAAGTATCCCAATAGGTTTTTTATAGTGAAACAATAAGTACAAACAATATTTTATTAACTAAAATCTTATTAAGATTTATCATTGTTACTATATTTATTACTTATTCTATTGAGTTTTTCTTGAAAATCTAATAATGATTAGATATTCTTAATAGTCAAATTTCATTCATGTTATTTTTATTACATATCATGTTATAAGTATAAATATTTTATTCTATGTTTCTTGTATCTTTAATTTTCAATATCGACCAAAAATGAAATTATTAATACATATTTATATATATAATTTTATATATTCAATAAGATGATAATAAAAACACAGATATAAATTTAATTTGTACCATTTTTTACTAATTTATAAAAAGAAAAAATCTTTTAAGTAATAAGTAAAAAATATAAAACAATGGCTAATGTTGGAGAAAATAAGTATGTACTTACCTCACAGTCTTACACAAATCCAATCTAAAATTTAAAAGGTAGGTATCAACATTTTTGTTAGACAGACATTTATAGACCATTCCCATTTTATACAAATCAAAATTATGTCATTTTAATACTTATAGTTGCTTTTTACCAATTTTTTTTCATACACAAACCTACAGCTTTTTTCAGGCATTTTTACAATAAACAAAGTCTAGCAAGTCGATGGATAATATATGAATATTGTAGTATTTACTAGACAAACGTACATTCAATTAAAAGCGACATGCTGTCTGAGTGTTATTATATTGATATAGTAAAGATAAAATAATAATATATTATACATTTTTAAAAATTAACTTACAATTTACATTAATTTGAAATTAGGTATTCTTCCATTTATGCATAAAAATGGACTGGAAGATAATATATTATTGTTGAAGTGTAATGCTTTTGAAAAAAAAAAAAAAAATATTTTTAAGAAAGGAACAGAACACTTGAGATAATCTATACCAATCATAGGTAATTATATTTTTTATTAATGTAATTATTATTTTATTATTCATTTTTAGTTAGTGATATACATAAAAATGTAAAAACTAAGTTTCCAAACAATGTAGACATACTCTATATTAAACTTGTTTCTTTATAGTTAGTTACTAAAAATGAATTTAGTTCCAAAATGAAATGTATTATTGGTTATTTGTAATGAAATAAGAATAATAAACAAATCAATAAACACAAAACAAATTATAAAACATATATACACTTATTATTTTTCTAGTATTATATGGCATAGTTCATTATATATTAATTATATTATAATATGTTTAAATATAAATTATTTATTTACAAATATAAATAAATTCAGATAATATTTGTTATAATAAATCAAGGAAACATAAGAGACATCAATTATAATCTTATTAAAAATAAAATAAATTAATATACAAAATAATTAATACTTTGATAAAAAAGGAAATATGAAGAAAAAATAATTTCTTATTTTAATGAATAATTTATTAAAAAAGATTAGGAATATAAATTTAAGTACTTAGGATAATCATGATTTTGAAATAATTTTCTTTTAATACTGTTTTTTTTTATACAATAAAAATAATTCTTAACATTATTAATTTTAAAAATAAATAGTTATAAAATACTGTTCAGTAGTAAAAATGTTATGATTAGTTCCTCCAGCCTATTTTAAGTTATAAAGTATTTAAGCATCTAAAGATTTTAATACTTATAACCAAAAGGCAAATTTTTATAAAACTAAAATGTCTACCCTTTTAAAAGCTAATATAATGTCAGCCTAGTAGACTTATTTTAACTTTCATATACTTTGAATTCTGATTAAAAGTTTCAATTCAGATTTATCACTCTGATTCATTGCTAGTTAATCTTTTTTCTTTGGTTTTTTCGGATTACGACTCCTGGATTTGGCTTTACATAATGGACAAATTGGAGCATTACGATGTATTTGTTGATGACACGATAAGCATGATTTCATTGGTGGTGGTTGTTGTCTAAATAGATAAAAACAATAATCAGGGAATTTACTTTATTAAATTAAAAACAAACTTTTTTTAACAAAAATTATTCATTAACCATATTGTAGAAATAAATTAATTTTTTTAAACAATCAAGAATTTAAATTTAATAAATTTATAGTATAAGAAATCGCCAAGGAAAATTATATATATATTTTTTTAATTAGATTCTACTGCACTTTTTAAAGTTTCAATAATTTGAATTGGTTACAGTAAGGATTAATCTTTGGCTAATTATAAAATTTATTTAACAATAAACTAATTCATTTGCACAGAATTTACAAACAATTGAAACCTTTTTTTCAGAGAAACTGAACCACATAAAGGGTAAACTTAACCTGTGTATCTTTCCAACTTTCTGAATTGGTTATTACTGATGGTGAAAAATTATTATACTTATGTATCATTTTTTTTCACCCTTTATAAGGTTTAGGAATATTTTGTCTAATCATATTCTGGTGTCATAAACTTTAAAAATGTTATTTGAGCTATTAAATTTATTATAATCACCATAAAAAGCCACTATTTACAATTTTGTCAATAACATAATTAAACAAATAAAAAAAAATATAATTAATTAGTGTCAATGATTCATAAACTTGGCAAACATGTAAATTGCAATCATAAAAATACTGATAGATGAAAACTGATGGGAAACCACTATTGAAAATAAACATTATGTTTTTAGAGTAAACAGTCTCTCTGTACAACTGAAATGTTACTTATAAGCTGGTTTTCATTGTTCATAATTATGTACACAATTAATTTGTTGTAAATTTAAAAAATATATTAATAAGTGAGAAAATGAGCCTCAATTCATAAATTAATAGGCAGTATATATACTTGAAATATAAATGAAAATAATATTGAATACTTTATTGATTTACTGAGCTATTTATATTGACTACCAGAATAACATAAGTTAAGGTTGTTAATTTAATCTAATAACTTGATACAAGAAAATATTTTTTTTGGCAGGTTTTATTATAAAAATATTTTGGCTTAGTTGGTTAGCAGAATATTATATTTATATAATTTAAATACTACCATAGGAAATAAAGATATTTTAATGCATACCATGTCAAAAACCTAAGATATATCCCAGAAAAGTAATAGTCATTACTAAGGTAGGGATTTCGATGCACTTTGCATTGTTTTCCAAAGCTAACTATGCGATGCTCGTCTTATCACAAATTTGTTTTATGTACTTTTGAATGAGAATAAGAAAATTTATTTTGCATTTTTTTAGTGTTTAGGTAATTTTCTTAATTTTTTAGGGAATTTTAGAGTTTTTGGAAACAAAAAATGAATTGTAAATTTTAAGATTTTTACATAAACATGGTTTTTATATAAATATAATAAATTATAAGTAAGTACTCGTAATTCATATTATATTATCGGAAAATTGTTGAAATGTGTCAAAATTTAGATAACGAGTGTAAAACTATGTGTTTTTTCAGATTAAATGAAATACAAGTCTATGATATATAAATTTATGTATAACTTTTTTTTTAAATTTATACTAATACTATATTAAATACACTTGTAATATATTTTTTGAATACATTTTAAGTCAATTTTATAGTGCATTTTAAGAGTTTTCGCATCTTTTTAACTTTTTATTATAGTTCATATAATTTTATTTATACTAAAATTATTAACAATAAAAATGTTTAGTGCATTAAAATCCCAGTCTTAGTCATTACTATAAGTAATTACTTTAATACTATTCATATTTATTAATACTAATTTTTATTACTATAAATTTACTGAATTTACAATTCCCAAAAAAAGTTGAGTTTATTTTAATAATATACTGTTATAATTTATATAAATATTTTATTTGTATATAAACAATTGGAAGATTGCAGGATAAATACCTGAATGTTGGTGGTCCTGGAATTGGAGGTATTGGTCTAGTATCTACAGGTCCACCATTAACCATTTTGCTGCTAGTTGCTAGTTGTTGAAGTGGAGTCGACTGAACAGCAGCTGCTTGAGATCCAAGAAAAGCAGCTACAGCTGCTTGTGCATGCTGATGTGCTTGAGTAAAGTTTAATGGTACATTATCACCATTATGCCAATCTGAATTGGGAGGTGTTGACGCAGCAGGTTTAATTTGTTTATCAAAATATGTTTGTACAAATAAACTAATAAAAATATTTAAAATAAGTTAGAAAATAAATATATATGATTTTATAAAATATAATTATATATTATATATACTAAAATTTAAAGGTTAGGTATGTAAAATTATATTAATATTAAGCACTTACTCAGGTCGAACAAGATCACTTTCTTCTTCATGAAGTTCTGGTAATCTTTCTAGTCCAAGTAAATCTCGACGCATACGATCAATATCCATTTTAAGTGGTTTATATTCATCATGAACTTGTTTAGCGCGTTCCATTGATCGATTTCTAGATTCTTCAGCTTTTTTTATCACACCTTCCATCTAAAAGTATATAACAAATATTAATTTAAAATTAAAAAAAAATTCATTTAGTTTACAAACCGCATTTATGTCTGCGTGAATTTGTCTTAATTCTTCTACATGTGCCATTTTTTCTTGTAATAATAGTTCCAATTCCTTGCGATACTCAATTAGACATTTATCTTCCTGATCACTTGCTTCAATTTCTTTCAGAATATTCATTTTTAGAGTTTCTAGTTTATCTGTTTTGTCTCTATAAAAAGAACCATTATTTTAGTATAAAAATAAGGATTTAGTCTAGAAGCAAATACAAAGTAAATAAAAATACCTAATTTATAAAAATGATTCACTTAAAGATTTTTGATGTCAAAATGTTATAATGATTAATTGAGAACTAATGAAAATTTCTAGTCTTGTCAGTTACAGAACAACACTAAACAATTTTAAAAACAGTAATACGTTTTCGATTTAATTCAAGTCATACGAGTAAGAAAATAAAGATTTGAAAGTGAAACAATCAGGATACGAACGAAACATAAAGACAATAGGGTATTAATGATAATCGGAATGTATCTCACCTGATGTCTTTTAATGCATCAAGTTTTTTGAAAACTTCATCGCTCTGGACGATTTCTTCTGTCATGTTTACAACGTTTTGAATTTTGTGGATGACAAATGAACACGAAAAGAACAACAATAACAACGGAACGAGGTGTCGCGCGAAAGGAAAATCGATATTTTCACGAGGTGTCGGACGAAACGTCGTCATCGGATGAGGATGGGTCGGCGATGATGACCACCGGATGCAAATTGTTTGTTTACATTATGTTATCAAGCGTATTATCAGTGCACATAAAAACAGGAGTTCCTGAAAATGATCATGGTCATATGTCAAAAATCATCAAACATGTATCGTCGGTTAAGCAGTTACAAGACTTTGTGCTCACGGTTATTATACACGAACATTTTTACATTTAAGGTTGATGTTTTTCACTTGTTTTTCGATCGAACAAAAACGCTCGGCCGTCGGAATTGCGTTATCGGGCATGGTAACAACTCGACAGCGGAACACAAGTACAACCGGTGCAACTGTAGTAATGACCGGCGGTGTGCCACAACTTGAAGTACAGTTGTCGCCGGCCACAACGTTGATCAGTGTTCTTCTTCCAAGAAACAGTTGAATTCTTCCACGTTCAACGGTGTAGTTCAGCACTCCGGCATCGCCGTCTGCACAGCTGATTTGTTCAATTGCAAAAACGAGGCCGTGCCGCCACCACCGAACGTTGTCCAGAAGTTAATATTTTCCAATTCCGTACTCACACACACACATACATTGGTGCTGTTGTTGTTGGACGAATTACACTAGTGTAAACACACACACGCTCGATACTGGCACACGTCACTTATCTTTAACCGCATACTCTTTATTATTCGTTTTAGTCGTAACAACACTGCTGCCCGTTTCCCGTTGTAGAGAACGTCGTGTGACAATTGATACTTGATTCGAAGTCGATTCAGTTGTCTGCTGCCGGTGCATCGTCCGTAGAGCGTCCACTCCTGACAACATCTCTGCGGATTCCGTGCTGCTGTTCCGTCGTTTAGATTTACATCTACTTCGAACATTAATATTTAATCTGGAAAAATGGTTTTGTTAAAAACTAGTTTGTTGTTCTCGTTCTTGGCCATTTCTTGCTTGGCCGTCGACAACCAGACCAACATCACTACAAAAGTTGACGTAATTCCGAGTGAGTATTTAATTATTGACCACGACGACAATCGTACTTAGTATTATAGAATTGAACAGTTTCGTCGCTGTTCAAGGTCAACTATGTGCGCATCGTCACGTAATTTCTGATCGCTGTTGTTTCGACGGACGGACGTTATGCGTACGTAGTCCGGTTATAATATTATAAAATGTCATCTTACATGTGTGGCATAGATTCACAATGCTTTCATATTCCTTTTTTTTTTTTTTATCGCGGTGAACGGTAGCTTATCGTGATGTCCGGTTCGTTCATCATTCGCCTTGTCAGCACAATATTGTTTCCTCATTTACCTCTCCATCATATAAACCCAATGGATTGTGGTCTCCGTGTCAAAGAACTATCCCTGTTACGACATTTAGTCGCCATTATTTTTTTTTTTTCCGTAATGGTTAAATTTTTAGTAACAATTTGATTTGTTTATGTCAATTTTTAATTTTAACTGAACATAAAATTCAATCATCCACTATATCTGTCGTCATTATTATTATTACCTTTTTTGTTTATTATTTTTATCGGTACAAAACATGCATGTCAGTGTTGAAGGTCAAACATAATGGTCGCACAATGGTTTCGATTGTGTGCGCCGCGATTATGTTACTTGTCATACACGGCGTTTACGACGATAAAGAGTTTTTTTTCCACTGAAATAAAACCGATATTTTCTATTATGTATTTCAAATATGAAATATTTCGTTATCTCTTCGTCCCAACTAACTTTTATTGAAATAGGAACAAATGTGTTATTGCTGTGTGGCTGCTGGCAAATATTTACTAACGAAACACCATAATACTTGGTCCATTTGTGATTATTATGTTGTAGTTTTTAGATAACATAACGATTCTCCACATTACCTAAAGGCTATGTATGTTCCCCTTTTCAATTTACTAATAAAATCTGCATTATCTTTCAAACAATTTGGTTAAATGTTCAATTCTTCAAATACTTCATGTTTTAAAATCAGATTTTGATTAGTATTTTTTTGTATTTTTTGGAGAAAAACATATGGTTATTTATTAAATATTCAATGTTGTATAAGTTACAGCTAGGTGTTATTTTGTCCATATGATTGAATAATTATTGTTCTATGTTAAACTAGGTATTCCTACTATACCTATTATGTATTAGAGTTATTTTGTATGGTTTATTTAAGGATTTAAAAATTAAACCTAAAACTTGGGATTTATAGGTACAATATTTAAATTTATTTTTAATTGGTAATGGTCTACAACACGGTCTACAAATTTTAGTCGACCTACTAAGTGAATTGTATTGATCTATGGGTTTCTTTTATTGATACAAATATTATTTGTTATACTAATAAGATTGCATTAATCTGTAGATTAGATTAGATTCCTTTAATTGTGGTTATTGTCATGGACATTTTATACTATTATTGTTCACATATTTGCCTTCACTGACCTGATTAAATAGTCATGGATATATTCATAAAATGACCGCATCCGAATTGGGTCTCGGATTTTTATAGGTACTACACTAGTTGATTCCTGAATTTTTTTTGGTAAGTATTACATTATATTAATATTTTTCTTTCCATTTTAGCAGAATTAGAACAGTCTATGATCTATTTAGATGACAGGACCACATTTTTTTAAAATTCTATAATTTAAATAATATTTTTATATAATAGTATTGGAAAGTTAGTATAGTGTAATAAAAGTATTATAATAATCAAAAATATTATACTATAATATTAATACAATTTTAATATTTTTACCAGTACAATTCTAATAATTTATATTTTAATAGAAAATAAACTATATAAAAAAACAATAAAAAACATTTTTCACCATACCGGTGATTTAAATAGATCATAGACAGTCCTAAGTCTATTAAAATGGGAAGGATAATATTAGTATAATGTAATACTTAACAAAAAATATTTAGGAACTAGTGTAGTACCTATAAAAATCCGTGACCTAACTAGTATATTACCTGTGATTAGCCCCTAGTAATCGGACCTAACTCGGATGCTCCGTAAAAAACGGTTAACCACTTAGAATTTTTTATTGACTTACAAATAAGAGCCCACACTCAACAAATTAAACTTGTGGACAATTATAAAATTAAAATTAAATTTATCGGATAAACAATTCCAAGAATAGTGAAGGATATGTTAAAATCCAAGAATCATTTTTGATGATTTTTTGGCCGATATTAAATAAATGTTTCACAACAACTAACTAAAACAATATGGTTATTGACAAAATTGAAATGGATTAAAAAATGTATGAAATTAATTTTCAAATTAGATTAAATTAATTTTTGTTGAATCATTACCTTTTATTTTGTAGTTAAGTATAAATACATACTAAGTTATCTATATTAAAAAAAAAAAAAAAATTAATAATTTTTACAAAATTTGTATTTGTTATAATTTGTTATGAGTTGATATGACATTAATATTTGATCAATTAATTTAAATTTATTTTTCATTTATTACAAATATTTTGTTGTTATAATTGAAATAAATTAAAATTAATTCTTTTAGTGGATTACAGTAAATACACAATGAAACCCTAGTAGTAACTAATAATAATGTATCCAGTTTGTATTTTATAGTTTTTATAATTTGTTTTCTAGTTTGTGATTTTAATTTGGAGTATTCGATAGACTGACATTAATAGTAAAAAGCTGTTTCTTATTTGAAATACTTATATAATTATTATGAATTGTCAATTTTCTTTAAGAGATTTTAGCTGCCAAATTTTATGAAGTTTAAGGGATTCTATAGTACTTTTGTTGTGTATTGTTATATATAATATCTAAAGAACTCATTACAGTCAAGTAATTTGCATGGCAATTGGTATTCCTTGAATAATTAATTACAATTTTGATTTTTCCTTAACATATTTATTTATATTTATAAATGTACTGGTTAATAGTGTCTATTATTTGTTTTTGGAAATAGTACATGATATGTGTTGAATGGTTATTGGTTGTCGTTATTTTGATTCTCTTGGATTTAGCAGACTAATTTGTTTGGTTATTCAATAAATTTATGCCTATTAAAAAAGTATACATTTTTTTTTATAAATGTGTAATGAAATATTATTGTAATATTTTTATTGCAAATGACTGGATGAAGTAGTTGATGATTTTAAATATTTTAATTATATTCAGATAATTATACAAAATAAATATCAAATTATAATGCATTTTTATCAGCAACAAAAAAAAAAAAAAAGGAAAAAATAATGAGTTTCCAACTTTATTTTAATATTAATTACAAATAATTCTGATATACATAATACACATGGTAAAATTAACATTTATGAATATTAAATAAATGTAATTGTAATGTACTAAAATAGACTTGCACTCAAAACTAAAAAAATCCTTATAGACATTTAAAACTTAAAGTATGTATTGTTTAAGTTACTTCTTTAAATGTTTTCTTTGTATTCTATGGAACTTCTAAAAACAAAAATATATTGATTTAATACTCTGCACTTAAATAATTTTTGATCTTATAACTATAAAAAAATTATTTGTATAATTATTTAATTTACTATTTTACAATATTGTGTAACAAGGCATTATAAGTTGTTTGTTATAAATTCCCAGCAAAACTAAGGAAATCTCTTTAACTTTATGGTTTTTTATTTTTTTATTATAGTTTTCTATTAAAACTTTTTTTGGTGATTAAACAACCAATAATTTAATTTAACTATAGTAAATATTCATTAGATTAGGAATTGGAATCTGAAGGTCATTTTAGCATTTGTTCAGTATGTGATGTATTGTTTATGCAATATTTACTTACATTTTGTTTTGACGAAAAATATTTGAAATTAAAACTATGGTTTACTACAAATACAAGGTGTTTCATGGGCATGACTTACCAAAGCAATAATCAGAAGTTGCAAGTTAAAAATAATTATACATATATATCTTAGCACTAGTTGTTATCTAGGTTTTAAGTTATATTTTATATTATTGTATTCATATTATGGAATATAGAAAGTAGGCCTTGAGTATAAAGACTTTTTTTTTACCTGAAGCATTTGATATTCATATTATATTCATAACTAAGAATATACCATATATATATTGCATTATGAAGAATATTTGCTATTCAGAACTAGAACTAAAAATAATATTTTATTTTATTCTTATATTATGAAGCCAGTCTTTTTATATTAAATAACTTAAAAAAATGTGTGTGAAGTGTAACTTACATCATTTGCTTGATAGTTAATGAATTAATAATGATATTAAATGAGTTTATTTATTTGTTTTTTTTTCTATATAGTTTTAAGTTACACATTTTTTTCACAATGTAGTTATAATAAATAGTTTTTTTGAAAAAAATCCTTAATTGATTATTTTTAAAATATTTGTTCAGTTTCAGAAACTAAAATTGCACCAGTTGAAGATTCAATAAAAAATGGAACCACTCCTGTACCTCCAACCACCGTCAACCCTAATGTTACATCTACTACCTTATCTCCAAGCCCAAATACTACAACTTCTACAACTACTACAACTCCTACAACTATAAAACCAAGTACTTCTACCATACCTCCTAGCCCAAATACAACCACTTTAAAACCAACTACTTCTACTCTTAAACCATCATCTACTACTACTAGTCCAAATGTAACAACTGTTGGTCCTACACCTCCAGAGCCCACTCCAATTCCAGCTAGAAGTTGGGATGGACCAAGTTTCTTTGGTATATTGATTATTGTAAAACATATGTAATAAAATAACTAAAATGAAAGTATTAATTTCAGGTGGCATGGTTCTTGCTTTTGGTATTGTGGCAGTTGGATTTGTTGGATATAGATTCTTTTACTTAGGACGCGGTAGTGCCTACCATACTTTGTGAACATTGCTGATTTGATCAAATTATGAAAAACATATTTTTTTTTTTTACATATAGGCCTATTATTTAATTTAATTCAAAACCTTTAAAATTGTAAAAATATTTTATTGATTAATTATTTAAAAGTTAGAGCACCCTTTCTCAAAATTCAGTGCTCATTATTTATTTTCTAGTGGCATATTAAGTGCTTAAAAAAAAAAAAAATAACCAAAAAAATTGAAGAGTTATTCAAATTCATTGTAGTTGTTATTATCGTTTATTCATTTCAAATTTATTTTTAATAATAATGAATAGTCAACATTTAAATTGACAAACTATTATTCTTAATCAATTTATTTTGGTGATAACTAATGTAAAATTATTTTTTAAGTATTTTTTTATATAATTAATAAACGCTGTAAAGATAATTTTGTTTTTTAATTTACACTTTGTTCCATGCTAATCATCTCTTTTTTTTTTTTAAAGATGAATTGGATAAATGAATATCAATTTATTAGTTATTGAAATATAGTAATCTCAAATATTTATTCAACACTAAATTAAATTAATTTATGATAAGTTAACATTATAATTTGTTGCTCAAGGAGTTACTCAAGGTTAATATTTTGATTATAAAAAAAAAAAAAATTTCTATCAATATGTTATTGATGCCATAAATCTTTTGATAGTTAATTTACTATATATTGTTACCAATAACACAAATCAAATCATGGATTCCCTTGAAAATTAAGACTTGTTCACTAACCATAGGTAAAGATTGCACTAGAAAATATTGACATGTATAAATTCTAGTGTATTGGTTGCTATTTTTAATGTGTGTCAAAAATTTCACTAAAATACTTTTAAATTCAGCTAAAATAATAATTCAATTTTCCTGTGTACCATTGAATTAAAGATGTTACAATGTTCTTTTAGTCACTAAAATTAGAACCATTCTTATATGTAAATAATTATATATACACAAATGAAAAATAAATTTTAAAAGTTTTATGTATAGAATGTTTGTAATAATAATAGAAACATTAGTTAAGTCATATTTCATTTTTAAGCTCAGATTTGAGTCTCGACTTATCATTTTTATTTTTCAACAAAAAAATAATGTACTTAAACTACCTGTTTATAACTACCTCTTTTTCCAATAATCATGTACTTTAAGGCTGTAGCTGGAGGGGACAGGCTTAATGGGTTATAACCCTCTTAAATATCTTTTTATTTTGTAAGATATTTTAAAATATAGGTATAATGTTATACCCATACGGCTGAAACATTAATTTGTATAAATATTTCATACATCTTTCTTAGAAGCTTATACTAAAATAGGTGTATAAATGAATTATTAATTTACATGCATACAAACATACAGTTCATACAAACATTTTTTAGTGAAATAACAAAAACAACCACAAATTATGTTTTTACTCTTGGAATCCTTTTTTTATATGAATAATAAGGTAAAATGTGTCGCTTATGAGTCACTACATATGTTTTTTGTTGGAGTAGATAAGCTAACTCACGCAGGGGCGTATTTTGACTTATTTCTAAGGGGAGGGGGGGTGACTTAAATTTTTTCTTTAATTCAGGCTCAAAATTTACAAGTAATATTTTTGATAATATTTAAATCAGGTGAATCCTTAATATTTGTGGTTTTTTTAAACTAATGCCGGATCTACTTACAATGGACTCCTGTCTAGTTTTTTATTTTAACACCTGTCTTCGTTTTGAAAGTTAGAATTGTATTTTATTTGATTTTACAATGAGTAAGGACCCAACAAAAAGCCCAATTCATAACATTCAATATTGATTTTTTAATGTTACCACTGATCATTGGTAAGTACTGATACTGATAAAATATAATAAATACATCATTATAAAAGTCCATTCGCCTTCAATTATTATATTTCAGTATGTTTTTTTGTAATTTTTCTTATAATTAATTCATATTTTATACAAACATTTTTGTAGAAAATCAAAATTTTTAATTAATTCGATTTTGTTATAAAGCAATTTGAAATGTGCTTCTTACATATAATCGATTCCTTAAATACGGATTGCCCCCTTCCCCCCTAAAATACGCCTCTAAGCCCATGTACATTTTAATGAATTGTCTAATTATCAATTATAATATATTGTAGACATTATTTAGTGTATTAAATTTTAAATTAATTGTATTCTTAATACTATAATCATTCTCTAATTTATCGTTTTTATAGGTTGGCAGCAAACAAATTAAAAAAGTGTAGATAAATTTAATTTTATAATAATGTTTAAAACAATATTTTCAATAATGATAATATTAATAAATATTAAATCTAAAAATTATTTAATTATTATAATATTATATTTATATATGGGGAAAAAATTGTTCAACGAACTGGTATACATTTAATGAATGTATTTTGAACGAATTTTTAATTTCTTATTTGTCTGATCTTAATCATTTTTCTTAGAATTTTTGTTTCATTCACACTTGGTTTGTACTTCATTTATCATATTCAATTCTGAACCCATATAAATATTGACGGTGAGTTTTTATATAACAATTGATTAAAACACGAATGGAACGATTTACATGAATTAGTGGTTTTTGTTAAAGAAACAGTTTCTTTACCCAGTAATTTAGGAAGGAACGTACTTGCATTTGAAACATTGTAATAAACCAAAGATAAAAATAAATCTATGAAGTGAGGGGTAGAGATATGTGCTATAGTATATTGTATGGTGTATTGTGTTGTATGCATAGGCGTGCACATGGGGGATGCTGGATGTGTCCGGCCACCCTTGAAATGTTGTAAATAGGTCCCTACCATTTAAGTCTAAGAGTAACGGGTGTTAACTGATGTTGCCTAAATGCAGAGGCGGATTTATATTTTTTACGGCTATAGGCACCAAAAATTTGCCGCTCCTATAATAGGTGAAAAAGTTACAATACCCCTCCAAAATACCTACTCTAAATATTTAATATATAGACAATAGTAGTGGACATCCATTTTAATTTTTAGACTATTTTTTTCGCCTGAAGTTATTTAGCCTACTTTGAAAAAAATGTCAATGGTTGTTCACTGAATTTGAATAAAAACCTACAAAATAAAATAAAATATATAGTATTATCAAAAACTGCTTTCTATATAATTGTTTACTATAATATTTATAGGTAATGACTATAAATTATAATGAACCAAAATAGATTGGTATACTGAATATCATATACGATGTACTATATGTTTGATCGTTTGATGTTTTTTAATAAAACACTACAAAATTTGCCGCCCCCCAAATTTTGCCGCCCTAGGCAGCTGCCTACAATACCTAATGGGAAATCCGCCTCTGCCTAAATGAAATATAATCTACTCTAAAATATCCGGTAAAAGATAAATGGTATTTCATCATGAGCGTACCCAGGAATTTTTTATGGGGGGGGGGGTCCAACATTTTAATTTTGTCTGTTCTCTAATTATAATTATAGTTTAACTCAATACCAAAAAATTACTGTAAATATACTATAGTATGCAATGCCGGATTACCCATTAGGCGGAGTATGTGCCTACCTCAGGGCCTCACTCATTTAAGGGGCCCTGTGAAAACGGAAAACTATATTTTCTTTTATTTAATAATACATGTATTTTATTTACGAATTTATGGGACAAAAGTCATTATAAAATATAATATATATATGTTAAGTTGTAGGCGTTATAGGCAGTAATATTAATACAATTATTTTGAAAAAAATAGAAATAATATAATAATTTATTGATTTTTCTTGCAAATAAAAAAATTCAATAAACACGATTTTGTTTATAAATAATAGTTGGTTATTATTAAAGCTGTTTATTTTAATTATTGGATAGTAATGTTAAAATGTATGAAAAAATTATTGCGGGCACCCCCTGAAATGCATGTCTACGCACGTCTATGATTGTATGCATATTGTGTAATATGGGTTGATTGCCTTCAAATTATTGACATTTGAAATATTTATTTATTATTTATCTGTACATATTTGAATTACATTATGTTTTGACATTTTTTAATATTCGAATTTCCGTTATAATAACTTACTGTATAATAATACTCCGGGTTGAGCATTTATTTATTTCTATTGGTAAGCTATATATCTATTAATATATTAATATTTGTAAATTTTAAACGCCAAATTTTTCTTATCGATCATTTTTATGACAACCCTAAATTCATAACACTTTGAATGCCCTAGGATAGTTGAATCATTTACCCCCCTCTGGAATACACCCCTATGTCCGTCATACACACGTTAATGAATTATGTTTCACGAGTTTTAACAACCAAAGCAAATAATATAATAGCATTGACTAAATCATATATTTTGTTCATTTCGATTCCCTTGAAATCGCATTCGTCATTGTAATACGTAATCACATGAACCAAATAAATGATAAGATAGTAAAATTGGTCGTTTACAAAAACCTCCAAAAGCGAGCACGTTTATACATACATACTTGCATAAATAGCCCATAGTACTGTGTTCTTGTATTTGACTTATCTTCTCATTCCTTTTTTTTTTGTTTCTTTCATTCTGTAAATACCGCACATTGCACACGAATTCCAGGAGATATTATTTATATTCTATATTATATACATACAAGCTACCTACTTCCACTACGGGTGTAGATGTATGATGATTGATGTGTTTTAATTAAGTTTTAACCGCTGTTAGTTGAAAATTATTTACGGCTTACGGTGAACGTAATTATAATCTTCCGCGGGTACTGTACATAAATATAAGTATATATATATATATGTAATATGCCTATGCAGGTAGACGTAAATAGGTGTGTACAAATCTTTTATGATGATCACCCGCGAAGCAGGCTGTATATTAGCTTAAATATATATTGTGTGTGTGTGTGTATACTACCATTGCGGGTATTTAAGTATCTACGAGTTTAAGTTACTGTTATTTTGGCCGTCCATGACTGAACTGTGAAGGGACGTTACAGACGATTAATGTTATGTATATATATAATATATACAGTATACATGAATACAGTAGAAACAAAACATTTCAAACGGATGTCTTTAAAATTGATTTAGAATTTTCACTTTTTACTCTGGGTTTTTCAACATTTTTATTCTTTTATTCCATCGAAAAGATTGATTTTAATAGTTCGTATGTCTTTATTATGTTATGTCGTCTGCAGGCTCCGTATTTTCGTGATCACCATTCATAGTTAAAATTATGTTTTATAGCTGTGTACCACATATTCGCTCATATAATGTGCGCTGAGTCTGATCGTTTTTAAATTATTATATAATGATAAATAAAAATATAACAATATTAATCATTAAATAAAGATCGGATAAACATGGGTTTTCGGTTTTCAATGGCATAGCCATGATTTGTACTGAGGG